TTTTTTTTTTTGCGGACTGTACAGTGCGCAAAATAAAAAACGGACACCCCAAATTACTTTTGATCTAATGATGAAATTTTCCCGTTCTAGGACTCAATCTCAATGTCTCGAAGGGCAGACTTCAAATATGCTACTTAATAAGTGCAGACGATATTTCACGTCTCGAAATCAGACATAAAAACGTACTTTCTCTGAATAAACATACCGTTTCTTCGACGGATTTGGTTTTCTGACCCCCAAAATATAAGAGGTAGCAGCAATCTGGGAAACATGGTATTCATAGTTTGGTCAAAGTTAGATATGTTACGATTTGCTTAATTTACGTCATTGTATCGCTGTTTGCCTTTCCCTTATTTATTTTAAAAAAAATTTATATGTAAACATACACTTATACGAGCTATCAGTTTTTTTATTGAATTTTTAAAAAATCATGTTTTATTAATTTGTAATAAAATTAATGTTTATCAAAAGTAATATGTTTTTTTGTTAGAAAAATAAAATTTTAGTTATTTGAGCCACACCATCAAAACACTTTGCTTTCATATTTTTCTACTTATTTACATACACAAATTTACTCAAAAATGAAGACTTTTGTTGCTAGCTGAAATAAAAGAATGCTCGTTCAAGTACTCAAGCATGAGGCTGCTCGTCAAGACGATACCAAATGAATGATGAAAAAAAAAAAACCGCACTGTTTATAATGAAAATATTTAAAGATAATTAATGGGAGAAGAAAAAAGACTTCATGTTCATCAGAAAATCATCCTCGACGGTTCATCAATTGCCGCATATCGTTGGGACCAAGGACATGCATTCAATTACGGTATTTCTAAAATTCATTTTACTCGAGACATATTATCTCGCCTTGATGCTTTTGAGTTTTTTTTTCGTACCAAATAACGCCGATTCTCTAATAAATAATTTAAGTTTTGTTCCTCCTCGGTATTGCACTGGAAATTGTATTCTGCTATATATATGACTATATATATATGACTATAGGTATATGACTATGTCTGTTACCACAATTCCGCAGCTGCCCCTGTTTCTCTCATTTTTTTCTCGTCAATGTGCATTTTCTTGCTTCTAACCTGTTTCCGTGTTGTCGTCTTGACGAGGAGCATTGAGTTAAAGCGATTAAAACGTGTCAAACTTTATTTCATTTCAAATATGACCAAAGGCATACTTAATTAGAGGATTGGTTTTATTTATGTACACAGTCAAATTTGTAATGAAAATCTTTAGTTACTCATGTCTGAAGCATAGAGAAATAAAATGTACTAAAAATATATTTTACCTGAATAACATTGGAAATCTTTTCTTTTTCATTTATTTTGTAACCGAATCCGTTGGCTGTTTCTGCGGATAAAATCGTCTGTCTTAACGGAGTTGTATTAATCTGCTCGTTTACAAATTTTGCAGGCTGATTTCTCTTGTAGGCGCTGTAAGGATCATTAACAAAACTCTTTCCTTCACGAATTACATCCGTTGGATATGGAAAATCATTTCTAGAATAGAAGCACAATATGACACAGTTTTGTCTCTATGACACATTTTTACGATATTATTATGAATCTTATGACACATTTTGTCTCACGGATCAACCAACTTTAAATACGTATGTTTTCATTTAAAACTGGAAAGAAAAAAATTTAAGTCATAACACATGGATTGATTATTACAGAAATATTATATTTTCGCATAAAGTTTGTTTTTACATTCTTATTTTAACATTTATTTGTTTAAAAATTTACAATACCCTTGAGTAAATCCCCGATTAAGTAATTGCTATGGGGCATTTTTCAAAATCATTTTCTTGATAAATTTAAAGTTATTTGTGGTAGTTATTTCATTTCATTTGTGGTTGTTATTGTGGTAAAGTTATTTATGGTATTCTACTTATTGTACTCATTGAAAGAAGTCTTATTAAAACCCATATCAACACAAAACAATGAAAACATTTTCATATAGTAGGTAGACATGCTATGGTAAATTAATTTTTTTCACTATTAATTATTCTAAATTATTTGAATGGTAACTACTTTAATGTGCTCGTTATTTTTATGCAAGTAAAAGTTAAAAATTCAACACAGCTACACTTTTTTTAGCTTCATTTAAATGTCATATTCCCAATATCATACTATAGAATTACGACAGTTTTTGAGAGCAACCAAGCTAGTCAAAGGTTGCTAGCCAATCAAAGTGAAGAATTTATTTACGAAATAAAAAATTTTGGAAAAGAAAATGAAATTTTTTAATTTAATGCGATTAAGATACAGTCTATTATCTAAAGAACTCCACCATCCAGACGTTCTCTGCTATTATGGAGACAAGAAGGAGCATATATTGGAAAGTCGGTCTCTCCATACTTCCTTCGCCCACCACTGTCAAAACTTGTAGGAAATGTTAATGCGCCATCCCTATTTGAAACAGTAAAGCCACGTTGCCATGGTCACCAACAGTGCATCAGACTGCTGACAAAGGGAGTTCTTTAGATAGACATTCTATGTCCCCAAGAAAATGAGGCTTACATGTTCGTTTCTACCTCGTGACACGCATTTACTAACAGTGGAAAACACTAGAATTATGTATTACATGAATACTAGAATTTTTCAACCCATGACTTGAAATTTGACCAATGGATAACCAGTGATTGCAAAAATGCGATCATATTTTTTTTTATGTACAGTGGAGCGCCAATTATCCGAACTGCTCGGGACCGAACGGGGTTCTAATAATGAAGATAGTAGGAAAGTTGTTTAAAATCTAGTTTAAATGATTAATATTTATACACTAACTTCCCTTCACATCCTTTCCAGACTTTGGACTGGTAGTATTATCTAAAATAGCTCTGGCGTGTTTAAATTTTTTTTCTCAATTTTTAAATATTTTTTATTTATTTATTTATTTATTTTAAACTTTTTTTTTTCATTTCGAATTTTTTTAAAATCATATTTTAGCTTTATATAAATTTTTTTGTCAATTACTGATTTTACCGCATTTTTCTTTATTTTCTTTCGCACTCCAACCATTGTAGACTGTCAAAATGAAACTCCCATTCTTGGAAGAAAATTTTCAGTTGAAGAGGGCTAAAGGGGTATGTAGGTTTAACTGTATAACAATACATGTATGTATGGTTACTATAAGAAATCTGCTAAAAAAGGTTGCAAATTAAATATGGTATTCAGATGTAGAGGACATTATTTATTCTTCTAAGTTTAGAAAAATTTTCGATAAGTTAATTAGTATTCTGAACTTAAAAACAAAAAAGCGAATTCTGACATAGTTCGGATAATTGGACGTTCGGATAATAAGGGTTCGGATAATCGGTGCTCTACTGTATTTTTGTTTTCATCAATTTAAATATATAAGTTGACTGGAAACGGTTTTCCATAAAGCTTATAATGAAAGTAAATGTGACTCATTTACTGTTTTAAAATTGTAAAATGGTTTATAAACTTAGCCTTAAGATTAAAGCTTTAAATTTGGAATAATAATCAAAATAAAAAATAAATAAAAGTAAACGCCTTTAACATAGGGATATAAAATATTTATTTTTATTTATTTAATTTCATTAAAGTAAAATAATGACATCGTTTCGATATTTTCTTTAGAACGTATTGTTTTCTCATATTTACCAAAAGTGTTTTTTTTTTAAAGTTACTTAAATTTTCAAATAATTAAATTTACTACCTTTATTAAGAAAAACTACTTTTCGTTAAATGAAAATAATAAGCAATGAAACAAAAAAGTCATGAAAATAGCACGTGAATTGTGAATCACCTAAAATTGCTTTCACTACTTACTTTCGTTTTTCTTGCAGAACTTTTCTGGATCCTAAAATGTTTTCATTCGTTTCAAAAAACTCCTCGGCGGCTAAACGAAAACTTAAGAATTAGATTAAAAAAGGCATTATAATTGAATGCTGTATTCTTTGCATATACAATAGCTTAAATTAATTTTAAAAATTCAAGCTCCCAAGGAATTTCTATACATATCTACCAAGTACCTATGTATAGAAATACCTATACCAATATACAGGTGATTCTCAAAATAATGGAATCACTTGTGAATAAAAGGGGTATTTACGAATTCGCTTCATAAGCATTAAAATATAATCTTAGCTACCAGTTTTTTTTAATATAAGAAGTGCATATATTAGGTGGTATGAGAGAGCTTTAGCAGAGGGGCCTCCCTGGCCGAGCGGTATCGCCGGTCCAAACGCTCTGTTAAGCGTGGAGGTAGCGGGTTCGATTCCCGCCGTAACCCTGGACGTATTCTTTGTGATGTCTTTCTCTGAATTGTTCTATCTGTATTTTCTACTTGACAATGACTTATAAGCCTATATTGAGCACACAAGTCAGCAAATGTATGTAATCTCAATAAATCAAAGCTTTAGCAGAGGTGTCTACGTTTTGATTTTTTGTCAGAAGCGTAAAATGTCAGACCTCACAGATTTCAGAGATGCCAACTGCTCCGGACACGCCAAAATAATTAAAAAACGGTAAACAACTACAAAGTAATTTTTGACTATTTTTGGTTGCTTTTTAAAAGGTATAGCATGACGTAAGTATTATAAAGTGGTGAATTATATAAGCCTACGAATTATTTAGAAATAGTGGTGGATAAAAATCTACTAAATTGAATTTATTAAACCAAGAATCACAATTGATAAACTATCACTTTAAAATATTTATTTGCTGTCAGGAGCAAGTTGGCATCTCTGAGATTTTCAGAGAGACCAAATTTTAGGAGCCCGACTAGTTGGAGCAACAGTGGCCGAAACATTCCACCTTTTAGGCGTTTCTAGAAGTACGGTGTCTAAAGTCTTGACAGCATACACACAGCGCGGAAAGACAAGCTCAGCAAAGCAAAATGTACGGAAGGAGAAGCTGAGTGAAAGAGACCGACGAGTATTGAAGCGGATTGTATTGTCTAAAAAGAAAACAACTGCAGCCAAAGTGACCGCAGAGCTCAATCAGCATCTGGATTCTCCAGTGTCAACAATTACAGTTAGGAGATATCTTCATAAAGAGAACATTTACGGCAAAACAGCAATTCCCAAGCCATTTGTCACAGATGCAAATGCCAAACGTAGTGTAGAGTGGTACCACAACCACAAAACCTGGTCGATTGATAAGTGGAAGACTATTATATGGTTAGACGAATCATCTTTCACACTTTTCCCCACAACAGGATGGGTACATGTCTGGAGAACACCTGCACAAGCGTATGATCCTGATTGCCTCCGTCCAACTGTCAAGCATGGAGGTGGATCAGTCATGGTATGGGCAGCCGTGTCGTGGGTTTCTGCTGGTCCAATCGTAACTCTAAAAGGAAGGATCACTGGGGAGAAGTATAGAGAAGTTTTAGCTGACCAGGTCCATCCTATGATGCAAATTTTGTTTCCTGCAGGAGATGGAATTTTCCAGGATGATAATGACCTTATTTATGCAGCCAGAATTGTCCAATCATGGTTTGATGAACATGAGGATGAAGTGGAACATCTACCTTGGCCCGCACAGTCCCCAGACCTCAATATAATCGAACCGTTGTGGTCTATTTTAGAGCTTTCAATCCGGAATCGATATCCTCCACCGGCATCTCTCACGGAACTTTCACAATATCTCCATGAAGAATGGTACAATATTCCTCTAAACCAGGGATGGGCAAACTTTTCTGGTCGTGGGCCAAAAATCTAGAAAAAAAAGTTTGGTGGGCCGAGTAAAAATTTCGAAAATAAAAATTCTAACTTCTGAAATAAAATAAAGTCAATTCATCATTGAACGTATGGCACTGTGCATCAACTTTGCATTTTTTAGTTGCCATTTTGGGAATAAAAATGTTTACAAATAACTCAAAAAGGCAGTAGCCATTTCATACATTTAATAATTTCACCATTATTTACAATGACGTTGCATGTGTGCAGCCTTTTCATACGCAGTAAATTATGTTAGAACTCACTCCGGAAGAAAAATCCGCTCGTTGGAACTTAAAATGCGTAGTAAGCCTCATGTGAAGTACAATTCACCTATATTAGATTCCATATGTCTGCTCCTCGAGAAAGACAAATACTAGTTGGAGCTAATCTACGGCTTTTCTATAAGGAACTTTTGCTTTCAACATTTTATCAATTGAAGCTGTTAATGCTAACTATTTTAATTAATTTATGTTTTGTAGAACAAAAATAGAGAAAGTAAAAAGTTAAAATTCGGTCCGCGGGCCGGATAAAATCTGCCGGCGGGCCACAGTTGGCCCGCGGGCCGTAGTTTGCCCATCCCTGCTCTAAACACTATTCAGAATTTGTATGATTCGATTCCTAGGCGAATCCAAGCTGTTTTACATGCCAAAGGTGGTCCTACGCCATATTAGTAAAGGATTCCTTCAAAATCTAGGGTGTTTCCATTATTTTGATAACCACCCGTATTTACACTTTCTGTATATCGAAATTCCTATTACTGTTATTAGTTGTATAGATACTGTGTATATACAGTACCTATATGCAGATTATAAAAAATAGGTACTCTGCCTAGTGTATTTTTTAAGGGTCCTCAAAACTGATAAGTAGCGTGAAAATAACAATAAAATTAATATTATGACATTTATTGAAATGAAAGTGTGGCTGTTAAGAAAAAAAAAGTATAAAAACTTAAGATAACGACTATCGACAAACACAGTTTATTTATTTATTTATTTAACTGCCAATTTTTTTGAAAATCTATTATTTAACCTACTTTAAACATTATTTACATAAATCAGAATGTTAATTAATGTGAAGTTAATTAAATACACGCCGTATCGGATATCAAATTTGTTAAAATATAATTTTTCATATCTACATCTTTAATCTAGAGAAAAATTATTATTATTTTATGGACTAGATTTATTATAAGTTTATGTATTTTAATGTTATGTTTTGTCTATTCTACGTGACTCCGTGGTTGACTTTGTGTTAAGTAGGAATTAAAGTAAAATTAAAGTAAATCTTTCTTTGTGAAAGAATATAAAATGTGTTACTTAAGAGAATTTATATTTGACGGGCTAGAATACTCGAAATAAAATGAAAAAAAGAAAAAAAACAGTTAATAACATAAGCAAATGTCACGTTTCGACAGCCAATCGGGATCGAGGCACACGTTGACGTCACTTGCAGGTATCTAATTTTTTTAAATTATTTTTTTAAGAAATAAACAAATGCAAATATTATTTAAAGCAGCTTAAAATTTTATTTTTTAGAAATAAATATTTCTTTTTTGAGAAAATTAAATATTAATAACTATGGCATTATTTATTTATTTTGAAGAAATACAGTTCATTTATTCCATTTTTCTACAAATGGTAAGAAAAGTAGTCATGTGAAAACAGTTACTCACAAAATTAGACGTGGTTTAAACAGAAACATCGCATAAGCATGACCCAGTAATATCCTAAAATTTATCTTTTGTGGCAATCTCTTCCAAATAAGCATTCGCTTTATGCGTAATTTAGTTACATAACATATTTACATATATAAATAAAAGAACTTAGAGATGGGTGAAACTTTGTCGAAAATATCCTCCGTATTACGTTTGGCTTCTGAAATTTCAGAGAAAGATATTCAAGATTACACGAAGTTGACTTATCTGAAAAGAAATGATATTCTGAATGCTTATAAGATGTTTAAGAAACTGCCATCTGATGATCGTTTCAGTGACGAAATTTCGTCGATGCTTACTGAGGACGTTAAAAATGCATTATCGGAATTGCGGGTAGGTTTATTTAGCGACCGAATCATGAGAGTATTTTGTGGTCGCAAAAGAAGAATGTCATTTGAAGAATTTCTTTCGATGTTATCCATTTTCAGTGACGCTTGTCCACAACATGTTAAGACTGAATATGCTTTTCGAATTTATGATTTTGATGAAGACAACTACCTATCCGCTGACGATCTTCGTGGGTTGCTTAATAGACAGTCCGGAGATAAATTAAATCATGAGGAAATTAGAGTTATTATAGAGAACATTTTCGAAGAAATGGATGAAAAAAGAACTGGATATATGTCTATATTTGATTTTAAAAAAATGATTAGTCATTGTATCAGATTTTCAAGTAGCTTCCGGTTCCTTTCTGTTAGATAGAAGCTCTCAGTTTTTGTAGTAATATACCTTTGTAATGATTTTCAATAGTTCTAAAGTCCTATAAGGCTTTTTGTGGTGACTATCCACTTCAGAAAACAGTAAGAAAATTGCCAAACGTCACTGCGGTAATTAATGGTGGTAATAGACATACTGATATTGTAGTTAATCATATCTTATATACTGTACTAATATAAATAATATAGAAATATATTTTTTACGGTTCCCCCAAAACGGATAAGCATCTTTTTTGTTCACCTTCAAAATAAAATTATGTTGGAGGTTTAATAATAAAAAGTAATGAGTCGTAAAAAGCTGAAATAGTTAATAATTTTTTATCATCTTCCATAGTCTTTTCGGGAGTTAATTCTTTAGATAGGTAACAGACAAAATTCGGCAAAAATCACCAAGCTATTGTTTTCAACTCATCAACAATGCGTCTCATTTACTGTTTATTTATTTGACCCCTGTTAAACTTTTGTTTCATTTAACTTACGCTTATGCAAATAAAGTGATACCTATTGGAAATTCACAATAGTGAAAAGAGAAACTTGGCAGCAATTTTGGCTTAGAATTTTTGTCCGATTAGCAGCTAACTTATACCCCTTCTATGCTTTGCATAAGTGCAAGATTCAGCTAAAACTACCAAACAATTTACTAAGTCCTTGATCCAAAAAATAAATAAATAAATAAAAAAGACACATAATATTATAGCAAAATGTATTAACAAAAAGATTTGTACCATCATATATTATAAATATTATTTGGTAGTACACCATTCATATAAACTAGGTTTATCGTTTTTTAATAACATAATAATTAAATATTTTCTTAATAATTATGAATCTTATTTATTTAAAGCAGTGTTTCTCAACGATATTTTCAATCCAGTATGAAATCATTTATATTTCACACATTGCCTAGGTATTCTATATAATGCCGGATGCTATTTAGGTTAAAGTATGAAATAAACGTCCTGATGAGGTTATTATGTAAATGATGTGCATGTTACTGTGAATGATCGAAATCGGCGGTTGTTGACTTTCACCGGTGAATGTTGACAATCACATAGTCGCTTTGGTGAATGTCCGAAATATTTATTACATCCGATTTGATATTAATTTATTCGTGGATATAATTACATTTATTCGACATTTTAATACTTACTGACGATAGATTAGAAAAAACATCAGTGTTTGGAGTATCGGGCAAATATATACCGGGCAATGATACTTGACCTTAAAAAAGCACCAGTGTAGGGTATACCGGTCAATGTATACCGAGCAGTGGCACTTAACTAGACCTAGTATATATTTCGGACATTTACCAAAGGTCTAGTCATGCTAGGTCAAGTTAAGTGCCACTGCCCGGTATACTTTTGCCCGGTATATCCTACACTGATGTTTTTTTAAGGCTCAGTGCCACTGCCCGGTATACATTTTTCCAAAACTCCAAACACTGATGTTTCTTCCAATCTATCATCAGTAAGTATTAAAATGTCGAATAAATGTAATTATATCTACGAATAAATTAGTACCAAATCGGATGTAATAAATGTTTCGGACATTCACCAAAGCGACTATGTGATTGTCAACATTCACCGGGGAAAGTCAACAACCACCAATTTCGGTCATTCACAGTAACATGCACATCATTAACATAATAACCTCATCAGGACGTTTATTTCATACTTTGCCTAAATAGCATCCGGCATTATACATAATGCCAAGGGAAAGTATGTAATACTTCTCATATTTTATACTTTGCCTAAAAACGTCAGGCACTATACATAATGCCGGCCTTTCATACTTTGCCGGTAACACATAGATCAGATCAGTAACAAGATTGCCTCTTAATTCGAGTCTCAAGAAAACACACTTAATTATTCTTATTTTTAATTAATAAATAAGTTTGTTTTTAAATATATTGCGCAGTACTGATACAATCCCAATCATAAATGTAAACATGTATTTTATTTTTCAAGCTTGTATTCCCCCTTTTATCTAGCCCCCGAGGAGAGCTGTCGTACAGATTTGAGTCATTTTTATTTAAATTATTAAAAACTATCGTTTATTTCTTTGTTTAAAATATTAAAATCATTATTTACTACAAATTTAGTGATCAGCAATTTATCAAAATATATGAATTTTATAAAATGTTAAGAGTTTAACATAAAATCTCGCATACATAGCGATAAATTACCAAAAAGCAATCAACTTTAATTTCAAAAATGCAGAATGATAAATCTAGTTTGTTAGATTTCTTGTCAAATTGAATTAAAGCCGTTAACACGCGTACTCTAGGATTCTTGTACGTAAGGCCCTGATGGATTACCTGACTCCAGTATTGTTGCTGTCGCCGATCGCATGGGTAAACAGTTGCCATTTTGGTGACTAGTTTGGGCGGTGAAGTGCATTGCGTCCGATCTATTATTTCTATTTTAACTTTTTTCTTTTTAACTTTCTTAAATACTTTTAAATTAATATTGACAGGTTTCTCATTTCTGTGTTCTAATAATTTAAAATTAGGCTTTAAATTATATCGTTTACTTAATGGAGATCGCAATGAAGGACGGCAGAAAGTACGGCTGCATAAAATTTGCAGAGATAAATGCACTGCAAACCAAAACAGCAGATAATGTGAGGTAAGTTTGAAATGAATTTATTTATTAATTTGTTTCAAATTTTACATGATATCATTTATTAATTAAGAAGAGTAAATATGTTTCGCTTTTTCTTAAAATTAGAAGTTTAGTAAATTCAACTGTATTAAATATATTCTCCAGAAAGAAATGAAAATAGACTACAAATATTGTTAACTTAAATAATTATTTCGTTAGAAATCTTTAAAAATAGATTTCAATAGCATTTAAATAATTGAGTTTTTGTAATCAAATTAAAAGTAAATGAGTGCAACATATAAAATATTTTAAAACTGAATTTAAAATTGTTACGTTTTAATAAGGTAATCTAATTCCTATTCGCGATNGCAGGTAAGCGTCTCATACAACAACGCCCCCTATAGTTCGTTGCGATCGCGAATTTAAAATATTATTTTATTTATTTTTTTGTTGTTTAAAATATTTCATACATTGTTTTAAAATTTTGTGACAGTGCAAAATAAATTTGATATATTTAATAGTCAGACTTTGACTACGATTTTTTTTTAAAAATATTCATTATTTATTAAACAGACCAGACGTTATCTATTTCACTATTGACCGTAACAAAACTCCCATTTACCAATTATTGACTCTTTCATGTCATGCTTTAATTTTAAAGTATCTAAAAAAGTTAATATTATTTTAATTATATATAACTACACTACTGGCCATTAAAATTGCTACACCAGGAAAGAATGCAAATAACTGAATGATATTTATTGGGCACATACATTATAGTTGAAAGAACAAGTGATTAAATTTTCAGGATATTTGGATGTGTAGATCCTGAGGAATCAGTACTCAAAGCAGCCTCCCCTGGCAGCAATAGCAGCAGTTATTCTCCTGGGCATCGAGTCGAACAGAGAATGGATTGCATGGACGGGTAAGGCATTCCACGCAGCTTCAACATTATGCCACAATTCATCGACCGTAGTGACTGACGAGTGGTGGCGTACCAGTCGTTCGGCAACCATTAACCAGAAGTTTTCAATTGGTGAGAGATCAGTAGAGCTTGCTGGCCAGGACAACAGGCGAACATGATCTGTGTCAGTGCGGGCAACATGCGGTCATGTATTGTTCCGCTGAAACGTAGCGTTACGGAGGCCTCGAAGACAAGGAAGAGCAACTGGCCCTAACACATCAGAAATGTAACAGCTGCTGTTCAAAGTGTCGGCAATGCAAACAAGAGGTAATCGAGACGTGTATCCCATACCAATACTCCAGGTAAAGGGCCAGTATGACGATGTCGAATGCAAGTTGCCAGTGGGCGTACTCCACGGTGTCGCCAAGCACAGATGCAGTCATCATGATGCTGTATACAGAACCTGGATTCGTCTAAAAAGACGACATCATGCCATTCCTTCTTCCGGGTTCATAGTTGATCACACCATTGGAGGCTCTCCTGCTTGTGATGCAGCGGCAAGGGAAGCCGGAGCCATGGTCGCCGTGCTGACAGTCCATACTGATACAAACATCGTCGAACTGCTCGTGCAGACACTTGTTGTCTTGCAAATGACCCCATTTGTTGACTCAGGTTTCGTGACGTAACTGTACGATCCCTTAAGGCCATGTGGATAACATGCATGTCTTCTCGGTTGTTAGTGATGGGGGCCCAGTAATATGCCGCACGACGTTCCATATGACCGTCATGAACCCATCGATTCCATATTCTACTAACAGTCATGGGATCTCGACCAACGCGAGCAGCAATACTTCGATATGATAAACTGCAATCCCGGTAGGCCACAATTCGACTTCGATCAAACTGAGACACGGACTGGTAGGCATTTGTCCTTCTTACAAGAGGCATAACAAAAACTTTTTTACCCAAGAACAACGCTCAAATTCAATTTCTGTTAGAGGAACTTCCTGTCAAATCTTTTCTGTTATACATATTGTATATGTCCCTACCACCGCCTGCTTTGCAGGAATGCGCTGATAAACTAATTATTTGCATACCACAACATGCCTTATCCGTCCTGCAAATTTCACGTTCGTGGTGTGTCGCCTTCCTGGTGTAGCAATTTTAATAACCAGTAGTGTATATTTAACTGCATTTCTTCACGATACATTTTAATATAAATTTTTGGAAATGATTTTAGAAAGTTATTTTGTTATAGAAATTGTCTTGAACAATACATGCATTATTATTTACCATACGATATTATAAATACTCAACTAATATATCTCAATTTTAGTGAGTCTATATAAGTTAAATAGCTTTTACTGTTATTTTTGGAATACCGATAAGATGACGATAAGATAATACAATTAAAGAAATGATTATAATATTTTGAAAAAATTTAAAATTCTTCCAAAAATATTAATGTTGCTTAAGGGAATTTGTTGGCTTAATATTAATTTATAATTTAAAAAATTAAACAGCAATTTTAAAATTTTTTTTTGCAACTATGCACACATGCACAATAACATATATGTATATTACATGTTTTCTTATACGGTAAAAACTATATATTCGTACAAGATTTCAATTTGATCGGCGAGCTACAGAAATTTCAGTGTAATTGACGACGAGCGAGACGCTTTGATTATTTCTGCTTTAAGCTTAAAAAAAATGTTTTTTCAATCGTAATCGCAATTTGTATTGTAAATAGTAACTCTATACCATTAAAAATATGTAATTTAATTAACATATATATTTCTTATGGGGCACCATAAAACTCGGTTATTTCTCTATCTATTGGCAACAAATGAATAACAAAATCAATATCTATAGTATTCATTTTGTTGGGTTGTCTTGTGAAATAGTTTAAGTGTGTTAAAAAACTAGTTACACGTTCAAATTTATTTAGATTCGTTAGGTTGTCGTAAGTAATAATTTAAGCAGTGTTGAAAAATTAATTATACGTTAAGTATATATTAAGAATAACTGTGAGAAATAAAAACTTAGTTATGAAGTAATTATTTAGATTTATTTTCGAGCCTTTCTGAAATGACTGAAGACATTTTAAGTAAAGAGCGTGTTTTGGTGCAGCATACAGTCATATCAATTATTAGTGACGGAACTTGCCTTTTTCGAACAATAGTATTGCATGTATATGAAAGAATACTCAAGTTATATCTCGAGAACTGCGTGATAGAATGTGAATGCAATGGAGCACATCACATAGGGATGAGTTTTCTGTTTATCTTATGGAAGGGATAAAAAAATTTTTAATACTTCTTCCAACTATACTGAAATGTCCTGAACTCATACTTACGGGTGTTTAAGTAATTAAATGGTTGCAGGTCGGATTATAAATTTTAGTACTAAAATTCAATACACAAATAACTTTGTCAATATCGTGGACATCTCTTGATTGTTGTTGTAGTTGTAGTTCATTTACGTCGCACTAGTTTTGATTAACAGTAGTTTTGACTACAATTTTGATCCACTGCAGAGGGGATGGCACCCCCGCTTCGGTAGCCCAACGACCTGCAAGCGAAGTCGAGCACTTTACGGTAAAACAGTTTAACGAGGACCCATACAGCACACCCTCGGTCCCAACACAGACTGATCCAAGTGGTCACCCACCCGCACACTGACCGCAGCCAGTGATGCTTGACTTCGGTGATCTGCTGGGAACCGTGTCTTAACGATCAGTCCACTGCGGGACGGTGATCTACTGGGAACCGTGTCTTAACGATCAGTCCACTGCGGGACGGACATCTCTTGAAAAAAGTTAAAATTGAAATCAAAGAACCTTTACGAGTACAACAGCCCAACGGTGAAAAAAGTTGGTTAATATATGGTTTAAGACTAATTAAGGTGTTCGGATTGGAGGAATAGTTTAAAAATTAGGATATTTAAATTCAGTTGCGCAGTGCAATCGGCCTGGCTAACATTTATATGTTGCTTAAGATAATTCTGAAAGGTGTCCAAGGTATCCGCAAAAGGGGGCTAGTTATTTAATAAATAAATAAAAAACAGTTTTGTTAATAACTTTGGAATCCTAATGGCTTCCGGCAGCAAAGAAAAACGATTTATGACATTACATTTTTATGTTACATAAAGAGAATAGAAAAGGAGCATTTGTTTGAAACCAGTATTTAAATAAACCAAAATCTTAAAAACGAACCCCATGATTCGTTATCCATCATTTCAAAGCCAGATCCATAACTTTCATCCTCGTTTATACCAAATAGTGCTTGATTGGATATAATGGGAGTTTTCAGTCCATTGGGAATTCCAGAATTCCTCAAAGTTGGCATTGGAGACATGAAACGAGATTGCATACGAGGAATATTCTGGTTTCTAAATGTGAAAGCATTAGAATTTTTAGCCACAGTTGTTGAACCTGTAAAAATTCATTTAGCAAATTTTAAAAAAGTGAAAAATTAAGAAATTCGTTAATCAACTTCAAAATCACAGAATCATTATGACAGAAAATTAAAATTGTAGATCTCAGAAGCAAGAGAAACTTAGCTTAGTTTAGCAAAGTTGTACAACATCGAAAAAGTATGTTAGGAAAATAAAATTTTATTATTATTCCAATTAATTAACGCATATAAACATAAATTTGTTTCAAATTATTAAAAAATTTTGAAGTCTTATATCCCCTGCAATGCATTTCGATGTGTGCACCCCTATTTATTTGACTAACATTAAGTCAAAAAACAATTTTTCTTCAAATCTCGTGCAGCATGAAGCACATCTCTGGAGTAACAGTTTCTGTTACGACCCTGATAGTAAAATTTAATCAATCTGCTGCATTTATATACAGAAATTCAATTTTTTGTGTAACCCAGGTAGAGTCAGTAAATTTGTTATCGTAAATTAAACTTTATATATGTTATGTATGTACTAATAATTGCATATAAAAGAGGTTGATAAAAATTATAGTTCCAAAATTCATGTAGTTTAAATATATTCTGCTGTTTTTGTTTCTAATGTCACTTGCCACACTAGCAAGCCTGCTTAGTGAAACCGAGCAAATTTAAGGGCAAAGGGTGCGTTTCTTGTTTTTCAGTGGCGCCATCTATGGCCAAGAATTCGTCTTCAGCCACACACGCGTCACACCCGTTTATAGGGCGAACCCATTGATACATCCATTCATTCATACACAGATCGTAATTTTTGACCTAGATCAGAGAATGATCGATCTCCAATCCAGTACCCCCAGAGGTATTGATTTGTTATAGGAACATGGAGGACTTTGCGACTCGACAGATTTAACGTGCATCAGTCACCATTTACTACACGGGGAGTCTTCGGCCGGTGGAGTTCGAATCCATGAACTCTCGGATATGGGCCCATTAATATATTCTATATCAATACAGCACTATTCTAATTTTAAATTTTCATTATTTTTCACAAATGTTATCAAAAGTATTACATTTATGAATTAAGATTGAATAAATTAGCAGAAAATTAACCGGAATTTAAAAAAAATTACCTTACATACCTGTAGATTATTTTTAGCTTCAGATTTCAAATAATTTTGTACAGTTTCGAAAATCTTTTAAAAAAAACTTCCTTAACTGATATGAAAAGTAATCTGTAAACACCGTAAAAATTTGTAGCGATCGTAACCGTGCACCATTGTTGCAGCGATGATTGCAGCTTTGAGATGGCATGATATTAGCCATTGTTTTACTGTAATTCTTGTGAGTAATTAAAAAATTTATATTTTCTTACTATCAACACCAGAATTATTTCCTTTTATTTAACTCTTAATTTTAATAAAACCCCGGCATTCTTTCTTCGACTATCAGATATTAAAAAATGTTAAAAGTTTTGCTCATGCATTAAATTATAGCATGCGCTTAAACTAATGGGGAAAAAATTAAGGCTATTAAAATTAGAACTGATATTTTAGTTCTTTAATGCATAAAGATTACAAACAGAGATGTTTCTAACCCTAGTATTTTAAAGGTCGTATAATTTTAATATTCCAGTTTTATCAGACTTTTATTATGCGTTCTTAATTAATTAGGACAAATATTTTGCTATAAACGAAAGTAAATTACACTTTTCATCCTACAGACTTATGAATAAACAAGTCGGTCATGCACACAGATTGAAAACTGGTAAAAGCACTTTCACTTGTTGACCTAGAACTCTATAACCAGCAAAGGTGAATTCTAGTCAAGGTAAAATGAGACGTGTCATATTATTAGCAAAGAGTTTAAGTTATGAATTTTTGTTTGAAAAAATGTTTTTACTTTCTGCTAAATACGGGGAAATAAAAATATGAAAAAATGAAAGTTTATGTATGTATTATAAACTCATTAATTGCTTATTCATTTTCGAATATGATGCTTAACCATAAAAATTGTAGAATGTTTATGTATGATCTATAAAATCATTAATTACAGGTTAACTTCCAAATATGATACTCAACCATAAAATTTGTGGAATAAAATATTGTCGGAGGTAAGATTAGTAACATCTGTTTCGTTAGTTTAAAATCATTTGTAAATTGTTATTAATAGAAAATCGAAGCCCTTTAATGATTGTTCAGCTTTTTCTTTTACCAATTTCATTTAAATTAAATTTTTCTTTCAAAAATAAATTGATGTTTTACTTCCATGCTTATATTTTTTCTATTCCCCCTTTCTGTTCAATCTCCAAATTGTATTTTAAAACATTAATTAAAAATATATATTTATAATGGCGTAATGTTATGCATTAAATATGTTTTATAATCATTAACAGAATCAAAAACTTATTCTCGAATTTTAATTAGAAGAGTGGTACCTTTTAATTTCGCATAGAATTATTTAATATCTTGCATATTTTCATATTTTACGCATATCAGAGATGAGACGGGGTCGTTTTACTGAAAAGAGTTTTTATGCTCAGACCCATGATAAAATTTTAGATTCAACTCTGGATTTTTCTTTTCGCTTTCTGTTATACAGTTTAATGATAAAAAGGATTTAATGCCGAATCTCTTCGTTTAGACTAAAATCCACAAAACTTGGCCTCTATTCAACAAACAAGCTCGGATGGATTCGGATAAAAAAAATTCGGACTCGAGCTGACTTGGAACTCCGAAATGAAACCGAACTCTTCTGTAACGCATAATATTTTAAAAACCAATATTTTCTGTTTATTTTTCCTAAAAAGGTAAATATTTTATGGAAATACATTTTTGCAATGATATGGATTTTTTGACAAAACTTACCTGGGATACATGATAATTTTTGTAAAAAAAAAAAATCTTTATTAAATCAGAAGTACATAAGAAATATGCAGCCATTTACTCATAGACATTTAGTAAGATTTTTAAGAAACCAAATGCACAGTTAATTTAGGACTTCACTTCATTATCATGTATGCATAATAGCCAACTTAGGTTTTTCTTATCGATTTAAAATGGTAGAAAAATAGTAATGCTTTAACAATAATATTTCCTTTTTAGCTCAATAAATATAATTATGAAATAAGATAGTTGTTGTTGTAGTTAATTTACGTCTCAATAGAGCTGCATGATGGGCTATTGGCGGCGGTCTGGGAAACACCCCTAAGGATGATCCGAAGACATGCCATCACAATTTTGATCCTCTTCAAAGGGGATGGCACCCCGCTTCGGTAGCCCGACGACCTGCAAGCGAAGTCGAGCACTTTACGGTAGAACAGTTTAACGAGTACCCGTACCGCACACCCTCGGTCCCTACGCAGACTGATCCAAGTGGTCACCCACCCTCACACTGACCGTAGCCAGTGATGCTTGACTTCGGTGATCTGCTGGGAACCGTGTCTTAACGATCAGTCCACTGCGGGACTGAAATAAAATAGAAGTTTTAAATGCTTGCACATCTTCGGAAAGAACAAATATAAAAGTACTAAGTGCCAGCAGAGAAACATGTAGCAGAAGTAGGCAAAAAAAAAAAAAACAGTGCGTGGAGTCCCTCCGCGCGATCGAAGTGAAACTTCGTAATGTGGAGAAGAACATAGGAAGGGGTAGAAATTGATTTTTAGGTAGGATTGGAAATGATAAATGGTAGGAATTATCCAACAACCAATGGGGGAACTACCACTGATGCAGTTTTTGCAAGAAATATTGCAAAAATAGAACTCAAACATTTCGTATCTTACTTTAGTTGTCAGAATCCCATTGTAAATGTTATAGATTTGGATATTTCTCCACTCGAAAATGATAATTAAAAGATGCGATCAATTGTGAATTGTAAGCATTGTTAATAAAGTTTGTCTTAAAGAAACAATATGATTTCACTAAAAATCAATTTCTACCCCTTCCTATTTTCATTTCCACATTACGAAGTTTCACTTCTTCGGCGCGGAGGTAGGCCACGCACTATTTCATACCCCCTCCATGGTAGCGTTAAACGTTTAACGCAACCTTGTTGAAAGTCGCATTAGAAGTTTCACTTCAAAAAAGTATTTATAACTCTATGTCGCTTTGTTCAAAAAACAAAAACAAAAAGAATTTAAAATAGTTAAAGTAACACCACAAGCATTTATTGTTGAAAATTGTAAGCTGTATATTTTATACAATAAAGGTGTAATGCAAGTCAAACGCGAGCTGCAAGTTAATTTTTGTTTTTAAAAGAGAAACTACGTAACAAGAGTGTGAAATCTTCTACCTTCCGTTTCTCCTTGTTATTTCAAACTTTTGTCTTAATCTTTATTTCATTTTTTGATTTCTTAACATGTCTAAAGTCATTTTTAAACGTTTTGGAAAGTCTCCAATACCTAGAAAGATATTCGTAATTTTACAAGATGTTTTACCACTGTTTGCTATGTTGTATTAAAATTTGAAAGCGTTTCCTTTCTAAATGCATGCTTCAATATCGATAAATCAAAAAAGAAAAAAAAAGCACATTTTACAGGGATTGTTATAAAACAACTTCAGACGTTTCATGTCTTATAACTGAAAACTACTAAAACGAAATGCAATAAATTCTAGGAATTTATCCCAAACCGTGGGAAATAAAATTTTGGAAATAAAAAAAATTTCGAACAAAAATGTAAATTAAAAAAAACTTCTTAAAATTAAAAGAAAATTAAATGCATTGCTAACTTTATTTAAATGATTTCGAAAATGATTTTGAATTATTTTGTTTTGAACTAATAAGGAGGCTACAATTGAACTGCAAATATGATCCACGAACTTTTTCTATATAATTCATAAATTAATGATAATATTAATTGCTTCAACTAATTTAAGTAGTTTTATTTTAAAATAAGTATGATACATCCAAATAATTAACATTAAAATAGATTTGGTCTAAACTTCGGTCAAATTTTAAAGTTTTAAAAAATATGAAATATACATTGTGTCTCAATTTTATACTTTCTTAGAAAATTTCCCATTTTTAATTTTAAACTTTTGAATATAATTACTATAGCACCTTCAAGCATAAATAATAAATTTTAGTTCAGCTTTTTTATTAATTTTTTTTAAGAGAGTGGTTATTACCAGATGCATTTTTATCGGCTTTAAAACCATTCAAAGTTAAACATTTTCCAATTGTGTAAAAATGTAAACAGTTTTGTACGGTTTATACATAGTAAAATAAAATGAAATTCTAAAATAATTTTCAATGTAGCTAAGTTTTGTTGATCTAATATTTAACTGTTCTGGTAATCTTAAGCTTTCCTGAAGCTTTTAACTTTCTGCAATTGTCTTTATAAGTACAAAACTCGAAACTACCAAAAAAAGAACTGATCTCAACTGTTTCTGCAAAAATCGCTGAAAGCTAGAGAGCAGGTGCGTGATTTCTACCTCTATTACAGCTCTGTGTAGATCACTTAATCGATATTCACTCTCTTATAAAGATCACTTAATCATTAATGTACTTTTTTTATTATCTGAGCTAGCATTAACAGCTAATATAATAATAAAACAAAACAAAGTTTTAAAAATTACGTTTTAAAAGTATTCTGAAAATTATAAAACTATTTTATTTTCATCATACATGTAAGGGATCATTACTTTCGAAAGCCATGGAAGATTGAAATTTATTAAAAGTACTACATTTACATTTCGGCATGATAAATAATTACTTCGTACCTTCTAGACTTAAAAAATTTAGTTTTTGTAATTTTTATTTTGTCTCATAATTTTCTTCTTGTAAGTTTGTTAATGTGAGAAAGTGGTCAAAATATCTATTAACGATAAAACGGTGATACAGTTTGCTTGCATTGTATAGAAAATAATTCTAATTTACAATAGCTTCTGATTGCGAACTCCTGTTAAAATTTGAGCACTCTAGTAAGACAGATTTTTGTTGAAAATTTGATAGACGATGAATTCTATTTCGTGATAAAAGGGCAATTATATAATGTTGCTTGTAGTGGTCTTAAAACGACTAAAACTTGTTTTATAAATTTATAGTTTTGTAAATTCTAACTAGTCAAAAAGTGGTCGAAACTTAGAATGACGTTGAAATCCTTTTGACAGCATTGGTCAAAAGTCTTGCTAGAAGCTGTCTGAAAACGACTACAATTGTATTGCCATTCAGCACAGAGTCCATCAGTTTTAAATATGAGCAATGCAGCCATGAATATTTCAGAATGGGTACTTAATAGTAAGATCTATAATCTATTATTAACAAAACTACATGTAATATTTTAAAAATAAAGTAAAAGTTTATTTTTAAGAAATTAATAAGGACTTAATAGTAAGATCTATAATCTATTATTAGCAAAACTACATGCAATATTTTAGAAAAAAAGTAAAAGTTTATTTTCAAAAAATTAATAATCAAAATGTAACAAACATTTTACTTCACAAAAATCATCGTACACTTAAATGTATTCGGATAAATTAATAATTAAAATTATCGCCTATTGCTTTATCCTTCATTTATTACTAATATTATTTAGTCATTTATTTATTACTCATTGGCAAAATAGGTCTTGGTTTGGATTTGATGGATTCCTCACACTTTTCAACTACAATAATCAAGAGTAATAGTAAAGAGTGCGCATGCGTTGCAATGGCGACCGCTGCTGTTTGATCATTTTTTTAGAATTCTTTTTTTCACTTTTAATTTTGTTACACATTAAATTGGTAAGTATATTTTTGAGATATGGGACCAGGGAGATCCCATAAATGCTTCTTAAGTTGTGAATAAAAGAGAAATTCATCATTTGAACGATTTTTTTTTAATTGTTTTAATTAAGAATCAGACATTCTAACCTACAGTTCGAACTGGATGAATATCACAAATAAAGAGGGTCCAAACTGATTGACACGGTCCCAAAAGTTCGAGTTGAAGCAAGAAAAAAAATCGATGCCAAGGCCTAAACTTACAGAGGCTGAAAAAGCCAAAGAACGTAGACGGAAATACCTTAAGCGTTACACACAAAAGGAAAAACGAAAGGATTCCGTTCGCAAACGCAAGCATGAAGCCCGTCCCTCACAAAAGTACCGAAGTGGTTAAAAGAATTGAACCCTACCGAAGAGCGAATGGTGGCTCTCCGCACACCTTTCATGCAAATGCGAGAACTGGGTGTTGGGATAAAAAGATCCATTTTCAACGTACCCAATGACTTGCACAAGACCGTAGACTGTCATCCACGCAATATAAATGATTCGTTCACTATTCATGTAAAGTTCTAAAGAAAGCATAGCTTTCAAATCATATTTCATGTATGAACTTGTGAATCCGAAACGGGGGTATGATGCAGCTTACAATCTCCTTCAAAAATCATTGTACCCATCCGAAAATGTTAATATTGATTTCGATTGACTGTTCAATGACTATTCATTCATCAAAAGAATTTACACAGAATGTGTCTGTGCTGCATTCAAATATGTCTGCGAAATTGTGTATCGAGCGGTTGAGGATTAACAGTTAAAGGTGTCCAAGATAAAAAAAAACACAATAAAGTTGCTTTTCCAAAAAAAAAAATTAGACAGCAACCATTTTGCTAATGGGTAACCTCTGATCTTCTTGCGGCAATCACAATTTATTTTATTTTATTTATTTATTGCAATTTAGTATCAAAATTTTGGTCGTGACATTGAATTTTAACTTTTGCTTGCTAACTCCATAACTTTTATCATTTAAAAATGGCTCGTAGTCGTAATAAAACACTCAATATTTGAAAGTTGATTATTTGCCATCATTAGTGATAAATCAGTAATGAATGATTTTTTAAAAGTGTATGATGACTTTTGAGAGATCGGGTTTGGGTTATTTTTTGATTATTGAATTTTTAAAAATAAACTTTAGCCTTCTTTCTAAAATATTCCACGCAGTTTTGCTAAGAACAGAATATATATCTTATTGAATATCCATTCTGCAATATTCATTTTCAAATGGATAGAACCCTATTTCGTACGGACACTTTCGAGAGCCTCTGTGAAAATCCTTTATTTTCGATGTATAAATTTAACTATTTATCTTTCATGCAAATTATAATTTACAACTACCAATTCTATTGATGTCTGAACAAAACATTTTTTGAACATTTTAGGACAGAAATTTTGCTTTTTAATTTAACAAGCTTTGCATGTTCTTATTAAGTTAATTTATCATATTTTTAAATCGGAATATAGATACAATTTAACTATACAAGCTATATTTCCAAGTTATATATCTGCTCTAAAAATCACTTTTGAATAAGTAATTAATTTTTTTTACGGGAAAAAGCGATTTGCCAAAATTATATCTCTCAAATTATAAATTTCCTATAAAATCATTTCGAATTAAAGTATTGCAAACGGTCTTCAAAACTTAGATGAACATCGGTCATAACATTTTTAAATTACTTTACTTAAATATTAAAATTTATGAAAAATAAGTGTTATAAGATTCAAATACCTCTTATTCTCGGCATAGTATTACTGAAACTCATCTTTTAAGTCTATTAAATAGATATTACTTAAAAAATATCTATCACAAAATTATTCTGTTTTCATTTAAACTAAAATCATGGAATGTGATATTATAATCCTAACAAAAATAAGTATTGCAGACGATAAAATCTTATAACTTCGTCGTTTATTTTTATTTAATTCAAAATAATTAAAATCGTTTGCTTTTTATTAAAAAAAATACCAATTCATAAATATCTTTGAGACTTAAAATATTCATTAGAAATTAATTTTTAACATGCAATGAGTTTTTACTTTACAATTATTTAAATTTTTTTCAAATCAAAAGATGTAATTTTTTCACTTCGAATTTCACACTGCAGCAAACGCTTGTTTCGTTGTTAAACTAATATATCGTATTACATCGCAATATGATATCCTTTACTTCATAGAATAAATTTATTTTGTTTCAATCACCGAATAAAACTTGATATTTCTTTTATAATACAGAATATATTTCAGATCCTAATATAGAAAAAAAGGAGATGAAATAATCAGCAAAATTGCGTGCATGTTATCTTTTTGTTATAATACATCAAACTTTTAAAACGACTACCTAAAAAAAAATGAAATGAAAAATGCGTTTTACTTTAAAAGTATATTTTGCTTCATAGTTGAAACGGAAGTAAAGTTAAAATAAAATAACTTGCTTTAAAGCCAGTAAATGATGCTTTTCTTCTCGTGTTACACTCGAGAGGCTTTCGTGTTTTAATGCTAGAAATGAATTGGTATTTTTTCCATTTGAAAAATAAGAGCATAACCGAGATATGGAGGTTTTCCATCAATCACATTTTATCGTCCACTGACGAAGAGCATCGTGTATGCAGTGGCTCACCCAGGATATGGTTATTAGGGTTACCCCCCCCCCCTAGAGACTGCAAGCAAGGTATTTTTCTTATTATTAATTCGATTATCTGAAATTCATCTGTACAAAAAAAATGAATCAATAAAAAATAAATGAAAACCTTAAAACTAATCTTTCTTTTTACGTAAATGATCTTCAAACAGAACATATTATTAAAACAGTTCGAAAGGCTTTTTTTTTTCCTTAAGGGGGGAAACAAACTAATTTGTAAATACCAAGGCAGTGAAAGGAGGATGACTTCTTTGGTGTAATTGCACAGACAAATGAAATTACCTTCATGGAATCCAATCTTTGAACCGCCCTCTTGACCGAACTATTAGTACCATATTTCTCAGGTTGCAGCTACCCAATATATTTTGAGGGTAAGGAATCCGCCCAAGGAGAAAGGTATATTAATTCAGAGAAAGTACCTTTTTGTGGCTTTTGATAACTTAAAATATCGTAACATAAAAAATCCGATCATTAGATCAAAATTTATTCAGAGAGTTTTTTTTTTCTTCCCCACACTGTTCTTTTTCATAAAGAGATAACATTTCCTGAAGACGATGCTCTGAATCACCAGGTTGAAAGATCTAAGAAATTGGACATGAGGCTAAGGTGAAAAATGAAAGGAGGAAATTTCTTATGAATTTTCACCCAATCTTTATGTTTTGTATTTTAACTATGTAAATTTATAATTAATTTATTAATTGTGTAATGATTTTTTTCATTTATGAATAATAGCTATCAGTTTAAAGACATTTTTTTATTTATTACTTTATTATTATTTTTTTTTGTCCGTAGAACAACCGATCCAATTTAAGGTTTACGACTACCAATGTTCAATTCCATAGTCTTGCAATTTTGAACCCATTCCAGATGACAAGGAGACTCCTGGATCAAGTTTTGGGAGAAATTTGCTTAGAGTACTTTTTGATGGACATAACCCGCATTTGCGTTACGTAAAGAGGAAAACCACGAAAACCTCCCACAGATAGCCTAACGGCAAGGGGACTCTAACCCATGATCCGTCTACCACTGAGGCAGGTCAGCCGGAATCCGTATTGCCCATGCCATCGCTGAGATTCAAACCCTGTTCACTACATGGGGAGGAGGACGCTCTCTCCAAGCCACTACGGCGCTTACAATTTATCTTTAAAACCGTCGTTGAATAGCCAACCCAATTGTGGATTTACGACTACTAATGTTCAACTCCGTTGCCTTCGAATTTTGAACTCAATCCAGAAGTCAAGGGAACTTCTGGGTCAGGTATTGGGAGAAATTTGCCTCCTTGGTGGACTTTTTAGAATTTGCGTTTCCCACATTTGCTTTACATGGAGAGGGAAACAACGAAATGGTTCCATGTTTAGTCTGATGGAAAGTGAACTCTAACTTTTGATCCGTCTGTCACTGTGGATATTTTACCTCAGCCTGCACGTCGGTGCAAGCCAGATCGGTGAGATTCCAACCCTGTTCATCTCATTGGAAGGTGATCCCTCTATCTCCTGAGCCACCACCGCTCTTACAATATTATTTAAAATAAGTCAGTATTCACCATTCCTGAAAAATAAAACTATGATTATTAATTTTAAACTCGCTCCCCCTAGAATGATTTTCTGAGCGCTCCCTGTACTGGCACTCGAAACATGTTGACCTTCCTTTCAATATTATTTTTTATTTACTGATTGATTTATATAACCTCTTAAGCTTCTTAAAAATATATCAATCAATTTTTTAAATTCAATTTTCTAAAGTGTTTTTTAAAATCGTGTTCTGTATTACTTAATTATTACCACTTTTTCTTTTATCAGCAGACATTTTTATGAGTTTCAACATTTAAGAAATTGACGTGTTAGGCTGTAGATAAAATTAAAGCATTGAAAACAAAAATTAAAACGATGATTTTTTTTTTTTTGAAAAGTTCAAACAACTATGAGAACCTTTTCTTGCAACTTGTTTTGAAAAAAAAAATGTGTTTTGTAACAACCTCAAGAAAAAGTATTAGGCCAATATTTAATTCTCGTTATAGCTAAGTAGCACAGCGATATCGTTAAATACTTGATTTCTGATTAAAATTGATCGACATTTTGAATTTAGTGCTCTGTGTAGTGATTTAAGGGAGGGCATTCGGAGCACGTGCTCAGGTCTCCCAACTTGTAAAAGGCCGTCATCAGAAGTTATGCATGAAAAAAAATAATTTTATATACTAGGCATTTAGTCAAATATCTTGTTTCTTACATAGTTTTCATCATTTTTACAATAACTTTTACTTTGTCAATTAAACTTTCGGAATTTTTTCTTAATTTAGCTAAATTAAATTTTAAATTTCTATTTCATCATCGTTTTCAATTTCAAAGACCATTCACACCGAATACGGTTCCCGCATATGCGATCGTCCGTCAATGCGATTGTAAACCTGATTGGGTGAAATTTCACACATACCCAAAACAACAACACTTTGGTTTACAGTAGCATTGACTGACGATCCTCAGCTGCCGCAACTACTTTTGGTGTGAATACTTCTTTACTCTGCGAGGGCCCCGTGATCTGTAAATCGGGCCCTGTTCGGTAAAACTTGAATGTTACGTAGAAGCGCCATGCAAGTACTTCTCAAAAAATAAAATCTTTAAATCTTTTTACTTATAGATGGCAACAACTATCAAAACAATGGGTAAATATGATGCGTAATGTTTAGTGCGAATTTGTAAATTCATTTTATTTTCATTTATCGTTATTTATTAATATATCCTAATTTGTGGAAACAATATATTTTAAATTTATGGGTAAGTTTATGGAAAACAATTGTAAATCTTCCTGTTATATTTTAGATTCTTCGTGTTTACTAATTCTTCCTTATTTCCCCGCTTATTTTCTCTTTGAATTCTCAATCTAGTAAAGAACTTCACTATTAGTAATTATTTAAATACCGTTACCTAAGCTAAAGGTACGCGTAATTAGTATAATATTTTGTTTTTTCTTTTGCTGTGCAATTATTATTTAATCCACAGATTTGACATAGCGTTAAATCACTTCAGAATAAAAATTGTAAACAAGTCTTTCTTAAATTTTATGGTCAGTTTTAATGTCGAATGTTCATGCCAAAGATTGTAATACTGTAACATTAAATTGATATTTTCTAGACATTATTTTGTTTTTATTCAAAATTTCGATACAGATATGTGCACGCATTCTTATGCATACCTATTTATTCATGGAAATACACTGTTTGTTTATAAAAGACTAATGACAAACATCATTACATATTAACACCTAAAGTACTATTTTTTGTGCAGTTAAAAGTTGGATTTATTATAATGAATTTTCATTATACAGACCTTATAATTATTATTTTGTGTTAAAAAATTATTGTAGAGATACATGTCTACATGAGGCAACTGGTAGAGAAATTTTAAAAAAATGTGTAAATTTAAACTTAAGTAATCTTTTTCTCAACATGTATTTATTTAACTCGCAGCTCAACTGGTAAATCTTATTGTAATATCATTATTATTAGAACAAATATTTTTATTTTAATAAATTTTTTTTCCGTAGGTATTTTGTAATAATTCATTGCAATGGCTGAAAGTGAAGATTGTCAGTTGTCAGCTTTACAAACAGAGTTTAAGAAGCTGAGAGTTGATTTAAATAGGTAAATTTGATACATTTTTTTTATAATCTTGTTGAGTTTCATTAATAATGTATACCAATATATTTTTTTGAACTTTATACAAATTTTTATGGTTATGCATGTAGTATTTGAGTAAGCTATATTTTGTACATTTTAACAATGAATGTAAAGTATATGCATAAAAGTGACTAGCTGTAAACGTTAGAATAACAGATTAACTAACTAGATGATTTTATAAAAAAATATATTTCTTTAAGTAAGGTTGGTGAGTTTTTGACAGTTTTACCATGGTTTTAACCATTATGTTAAAACACCCTTTTTGACATATCTTAACACTCTTAAAACACCCTTTTGACAATTATCCTACCAAAAACTGTAGAGTGAAAATAATTATTAGAAAATAATAATTAATATTCATCTATAAGATTGCTAGTGATTAATCTACTCTGCTCTTTAATTATTTGACATTAACTTCCTTTTTATTTTGACAATTATTGTCAAAAATCTAGAAGTTTGGTGTAAAAAAATCATAATCTATTAAGTAATTAGTAAAATTGCAATTTATCTAATCCGTTAATATTATTAGCTTTTAAATTTGGATCGCTGATAGCCTTGCATAATTAAACTATTAAAAGATTTACACATTAAAATTTGTTTAATACATAAACAAACCTAATAATCTATTATAAACTATTAATGCATAATAAGTCTACTTACTAAAATTAACATGTATTGGCAAATTTATGCTAAGAACTATAATAAATATTGATAATAATTAAACACTTAAATTGATTGATTTAAACATTCATATTTCTTTGTAAATTATAATTAGTTTACTTTCAAGGAATATATTATATTTTAATTTATAGATTATGTTAAGGTGTAGTGCGCAAAAAAAGACCACTCTGACTAAATTTTGATTTAATGATCGATGATTTGATTTAATTATCATAAAATTAATTTAAAAAAATTATTTATTCAAATAATAAAAAGCCAATGTCAGTCTGTCTATTACAAATCAGTTTTATATTCAATTTTCTATGCCCATTCTGAAAAAAATGTTTGGTTATTTTGGAATATGACATAAGATACTGTAAATTTTAACAAAAAGACAAAAGCTTATAAGTATTGTATAATGTGGCGGGGTGCTAGCAATTTTGAAAAGTGCTTAAAGGTGCTTATTTTCTACTTTCATTTTTTAAAAGCCCTTACAAGTGCTCTTTTCATTGTTTTTTTTTTTAAAAGTGCTTAATTTTCCCTTTTCCAAAATGAGATTTTTTCTTCTTTACCATAACAATTTTTGCTTCGAATTACGCAAAAAGCGTGTTTTCCATATTGTTTTATTCAACGTTTTCATAATTCGTTCAAGCACAATCTCTTTCGGTATAACATCGGTCTGTAGCGTATGAAAGCGCCAATCATTTTCTGAAATACTTGCGGGCTTGAATACTGAGCTAGATTCGGGGGGAAGGATACGTGCATTCTCATGAGCAATTCTGGTGCATTCTGCAAGAGAGATAATCTTTTTAAATAATTGTTGAATTAATTATTTATAATTTTGTCTAATTTTTTTACAGAATTGTGTAAAGTAATTATAAATTTAAAAACTTGAATGATTCACTAAATATTGATTGTATTTAAAATTGTGCTTAATTGTTTTTATGGTGGCTAATATAATCACAAAAAGAATTCTTTGTCAGAAACTAGTTATTTTATCATGATCATGTAACTTAGAAAACTATTTTGCATTTTGTTAACATATATATACGAAGAACTTTCAACAATACTAAGGGGAAAAAATTATTAGTGCACATATCTTAATTATAATATATTTTTAAAGTGCTGAAAAATATTTTTTGAGTGCTTAAAAAGTGAATTTGAAGGTGCTTATTTTTGCTGAAAAATTTGACTACGCACCCTGTGTGGGTATGTAGTTTATTTCAAAGGTTGATTATTTATTAAAAATTATTTTTTGTAGCCTTGGTCGGATAGAAAAGCATACAAATAAATGTTGGAAGACACATAGTGGTTCAAGTAGAGAACAAGACACTAGCTCTAGCTGTGCACATCTTGCAAAATCTGATCCCTGTAAATGCCGTAATGTGACCTGTGGGAAGGCAATATCTCGGAAAAAGAAAAAACACTGTAGCAAGCGAAGTCTTTCTGATAAATCGTTTACTTCAGAAATTAATGTAAGTCATCAGTCTGGACTGCCTGATTGTGTTCAAAATGTAAATGGTCTTGCCACTAAATGTTGCTCAAATAAAAACTTCTTAGATCATAGACTGTCATTCAGCGGACAATGTGCTGCTCAACATGCTTCCCAAGATCATGCTGATGACATTAATGTAGATGAGCTAGCTGGCTACTTTGATAATTTTGTTTATATACCTAAAAAAATGTCTGAAATGGCGGAGATGATGTATACATAGCATATTGTTGTGTATTTCTCATTAGCATAATGTCTTTTTTTTTACTGTTTGCAATGTATGAATGTTAGATTTATGATAAACTAATGAGCTGCCACTTATATTGAATGTTTATAACGTCAGGCTCACTTAGCCAGATTATTTTGGAGATTTCTATCTTTAAACATTGAACTAGAATGATTGCATTGCCCTGTTTTCTCTTATTTTATTATATTGTTTTAAATAATCTTGGGATGATTCTGCTCCATCATTTGAAAGAATTTCTTAAATTGTATTAATAATATTTGTAAAAATATACTAATAAATCTCAGATTCAAAATTATTCTACCATTGACATTTTTAAATTACATTTCTTTTTGCATTTGAATAATAAAGCATGTCCATTTTTTTTCTTATAAAATGTATGTTGTTAATAAAGATCAAGTTTTTATATAGTCTATGAGTAAAAGATTCCATTTTTCTTATTATAATGTTAAATAGGCTAATTCACATGAAATTTCATTAGCTCTAAACACATCTTCCTCAGCATAATTTGAACAATTTAACATACTTGGTATTTTTTTTAGATAAAAATGAAATACATTTCAAAGCTTAAAGTAATGCCATTTTCTTAAGTTTGTATATTGGCTTATGTCATTGTGTTTTTTTTTGTTTTGTTTTTTTAATCGAGATTAGTGATACTTACTAAAATTTGTGTAATATTATCCAAAATTTGAACTAGTGTAACACTTCTTATGATTAACTCATATACTAATATTGTATGATTATTAATTCATATATATTTAATGTTCTTATTATGCTGGCCGGTCTATGTAAGGGTCAGGGAACTGGCCTTGCATCAAAAAAAGATTTGAGTTCGAATCCTGGGCAACGCATGGATGTTCTTTCATTCTTGGGACTATCTGTCCTTACTGTGGGGGCAACATAGGCCAACCTAATATGGTGCCCCTGAATGAATGGTCAACAAATCTGCCCTTCAGATGCCTATATGACAAAAGGTCATTCTCCAGGTAGGCAGTGAAAAAAATTTTTTTCATATGATTGTTAATGTCTCTAAGGCTGGAATGAGATCAGACTCCCCTCCTTTCTGAATAATGCCTCTGCATACTTGGTCTTGAGACTTAATGGTAGAATCAGTGTGGTGATCAGAGTAAAAAGTTTGGAAATACCATATTAAAATGTAATTATATTAATTTCACAATTAGCTACCAGCAAAAGGTTATTAAATTATCTTTTCGATATGTGAATTGTTCTTTTTAGCCCACTGTGGTACCTGTAGATTAATTTAAGATTTTGAAAAATAAGAATAAACTGTTTATCAGTGATGAGGGTAAATCCAAAATAATTTCTTGATTCTTCCTACAAGCAGGGATGAGATTTTTCCGCTTTTTAGCGGATTTCCGCTTTTTTCACTTTTATCTCTTGAATTTCAGCTTTTTTATCAAAAATTCAGATTTTCTAAAAATTGCACTTCTTTTTAAAAGTATTCCGCTTTTTCAGAAAATTTACCGATTTTCAAAGAGAAACAGAAAATTCAAACTACATAGCTACCAATCCTTTCTCATTTTCACTTATTTTAGCTATTTTCTCCCCTTTTACACGCAGCAGATAAGATTTTCTGAATTTTTTACCCCGCCCTCCAGATAGATCCGATTTTCGTAGTTCAAACGACGCTGCTTCTGACAAGCCTTTTAGAGGTCCCAAGCCTGGAATCTGATAATATCTCGATTGTTATTCACACAATTTTAATATCAAACATAGCTTTTCATATTTGCGTGTTGCGATTCTTATTCACGCGATTTGAATATTGTACGTTGCGATTCTGATTTACAAGATTTGAAAATCCGATATTGTGATTCGTATTTACCCCTTATTAAAAACCTATGTAGCGATTCGTATTCATGCTAGTTTAAAATTCAATGTCTTGATTTGCTCATGCGGTTTATAATATCAAACATTGATTTTCGTATTTATATGTGATTTTAAAATAAGGCATTGGGATTCGCATTCACGCATTCTAAAAGTTATGCATCATAATTCTTATTTATGCAATCTAAAAATTACGCATCATGATTCGTATTTACGCTATCTAAAAATTATGAATCGTGATTTGTATTTACGCGTTTTAAAAATTCTATATCCCAGTTTGTATTTTCTCATTTTCAAAATCGTATATCTAGTTTCATATTCATGTGATTTCAAAATCCATAATTGTTATTCATATTCACGCAATTTTAAGATCAACTATCGCGATTCTTGTAAGAAGTAAATTTTTTTTAAAATTAGTTACTATAAAGGTGACTGTTTTTCTAACGACGATTATTAGTATATGTAAGTGTTACAACATCAGAGAAACTGGAAGGGAATATATTCAAAACTTACATTCTGTGCTTGCAAAGAAGAAAAAATAGGATTTGTCACAAGATGTTTGAAGATGGACTAACGACTAAATATAGCAAACATAAAAGATATAGCAAACAAAAGCAATCACTTAAAAAGGGATTTAATTAAAAAAAAATTTTTGGGGAAAAAGAGTTAATTAACTCATCATCAAAATTTTATTTATAATTGCTGTTATTTATGCTATAAAATGCAAAATTCTTATCAAATAAAAAACAATTATCTAAACAGTTGCTGATTGTCATGTAATTTTTCAAACTAAAATAGCAATTTTTGTATGTTAAGGAGTTACTATATATTTCTACTTCACTGTTATTGATATGTTTCAGAGGGCTCTAGTTAGATTAGACTATAATATGAACATAATGATTCGGTCCATTGTTAAAGTTTTTTTTTCCAATATAATTTAAAAAGTAATATTACTGATATATTTGCTATAAATCACATAACAGTATTTATTAAAAGAAATGAAATATTAATGTATATTCTCAGTAGTTTTAATTTGCTAAACCAGGTAGTTTTTCAAGTAGTAATTGTCTCTTATGTGAACTGAGGAAAAATATAATTTCCAGCTTTATTTTTTCAATTAGTAATTTTTTTTTCACTAAATGTTAAGTATCAATGTAATCGTTTTTATAATAATAGATTAGTACACAATTGTATGTCAACACATTATTTATTACCTTAAACTGTCTGGAATTTATTATTAAAGGGTTGCGCTTGCGTAAAATTTACTATCGTGGAAATTCAGCTTTTTTGCCTTTTGGCTAATCTCATCCCTGTACAAGTCAACACTCAAAGAAAATCTAGAGGACCTTGATTAAGCATACAATATTGCATTGCCTTCCAAAGTGCAGGAAATGAAGACCAAAACAAATAGACTAGAAGAAAGTGTGAAACAGGTAGGATTACACATTAATTAGAAGACTAAAATTTAATAGCAGTAAAAATGATTACACATATTTATAAATAGAAATAATTGGGCAACACACTAACTACTTTGGAGTGAACATCACAGCAAGAATTGAAAAAGCACAACATGCTTCCAAAAAATTTGGAAACAAATTAAATAGTAAACTCAAGTTACAAATTTTTAAAACTACTTAAATCTGTGTGCTAATATGGCAGCAAATCACGGCGACTCAGAAAGCAAAAAACTATACTTTATTAAAATAATTGCCTCAGACTAATTTTAAAGATATACTGATCTGATAAAATCATAAACAATAAGCTCTATTATGAAACTAAACTCATCACAGTAGAAATGAAAAAACAGTGGTTCAGGATAGGACATGCTAAGAATGTCCCCAAAAGACCAAACTAGAGTAGCTTCGACAGGGTTTGCCAGATTGGAAAAGAGGGTAGCTCAGTTTTGAGAATGCAAAGAAAGCGGAACTTGAAACTTGTGGCTTCATGCGCCACCAGGCGTGAGGAGAAATTGAGTAGTATATGTTAGCACACTGGCGAAATTTGCTTGGTACCTTATGGAATCAGCACACCGAGTGCCACGGCTATAGATGCGGGATTGACAAAAAAATTTATGGTTTATTTAATACAGTTTATTCAGTTATGTTGTTTGAAAAAATAGAAAACATACCATAGGGACAATACAAGCATCATGAAACATCATTAGTGGTCTATAAAAAAAAAAAAAGAAGGGGAATACTTAATTTTTATGCTAAAAATTAAATAAAAAATAATTATTTTCAGCTATTGCATTAAATACCTTGATAAATATTATTTAAGTAAAGATTCGATTAAAGCGTCTGAAAAAAGGGCTTTTGCATTTGACGATAAACAGTTTACAAATAACTATAAAAACCTGCTCATTAAATTAAAATACCAAAAATATGAATGCCATTTGAGTAAAGACCTTAAATGAGAAATACGGATTTATAAATTACGCTAGAAAGCCTGTACGCATGAAATAAAATTCATTTTCTACAGTCGACATATAAACTTTAAAGTTTATGTACTCTTAATTCACTAAAATGTAACTTAGATCATTCATTCACTCATAGTTCAAATGTTCTCTGATAATGTTTTTCCCTAGGCCTTGTTGAAAATTACAAAATTATTGCTTTAAAATTTGAGAAAAGTTTGATTAAAACTGAACAAGATATGAGTAATTAAAGTAGTTATTTTATATTGCACATACAAAGGAAAAATTTTTTAAAAAATTGCTTCATTTTGTAGTGACTCATGTAGTGGCAACGAAAAAAAAAATAGTTCGATGTGAATATCTTGAAAATTTAAAATGTTTCCAGCAGTTTTCGTACTTTTTAAAAGAAAGCTAAAAATGATAAGGGGTTTCCCACAAATTTCATTTTCTTAAAATAATAAAAAAGATTTATTAAAAAATGACATTGGCATTTTTGTGGATCATAAAAGTATCTTTCCATAGAATCATTTCTTTTCTTATATAAGAAAAGAAATGCATATGATTGCATATGCAATCATATTTAGGTGTATGAACGTTTATTGTAAAGTAATATCATTTGTTATTTAATTTTGTCTTATGATACAAATTAATATTTGTGGAAAGCCCCTTATCTTTTTAAGTTTCTTTTAAGAAGTACAAAAACTATTTAAAAAATAGCTTGAAAGTTTAAAATTTTTAAGATATTCAAATATGACTTTTTTCATTAGTTGCAAAATTGCGGAGAGAAAAAATGCTACTTTAATTGCTTATATATCGCACTGATTTCGAATTTTAAAGAAAGAAAAAAATTGTAATTTTATATCACTCCAAAAATTTTGTTTAATTTTATTGAATATTTTTAGTTATAGCAGAAAAAAACATACGACAAAAAAAAAGTAGTTTTTTATTAAAATAAGTTCATATTTTCATAAATATTTAATCTAGGTTTAAGAAATTCTGTGCAAGCTAAAGCATATAATTACCAAAATAATTGTTAAAAATTACCAATTTATTGCTATATTTTTTGGTGATCAAAACATTATTTTCCGTTTGTAATTTATTGTCTTTCCCTCATTATTTCCCCCATTATTTTGAGCAGCCTCTAAAGTTTTAATTTAATACTTTTTATTTTATTTATTTTTATTTTCACGCCTTCTCGTTCACGCATGGACAGACATTCAAACTTGAATGTTTTGACAAAGGCCATTTGTGTTAAATTTTGAATCGAAACAAGGTTTTTTTTAAAATTTATTTTTACCGATTTTCCACATTTATCAGAAGAGAAAGCATAACAAATACGTTTTTTAATCAATTCATTTTTAATTAATATTAATTTAATTCATCTTTCAAGCTTTGGGATAAGGTTCGATTCTCATGTTCTGGTTCTTGTAAAGCGGAAAGTCCTCGTGTTTTGTGTGGAGCGGAGATAAGGTTATTAAAACCAAAACGATTTGCGATAATATTGTACGTTAATGTGGCAGTACTGTCTAATTAGGAATTTCAAACCACCGTCTACAGCAAGATAGCTCTAGACGATAATCAAATCTTTCTTTTTCTCCCTTGTTATATACGTCGCACTAAAGCAGCACAATGTGCAAAGCAAAATTAAATGGAAGGGAGGAGGCAAGAGGACTGACTTAGGTCATTGGTGCATGGAAGAAAAGACAAGACCTTATGTGCCAGCTGGCGCGAAGAGGATAATTCGGTAGAGCTGCACAATGGGCTATTGGCGATTGTCTGGGAAACATTCCTAAGGTTGATCCGGATCCAGAGACAGCATACAGTCCCGCAGTGGATCGTTAAGACACGGTTCCCAGCAGATCACCGAAGTCAAGCATCACGGGTAGCGGTCAGTGCGCTGGTGGGTGACCACTTGGATCAGTCTGCGTAGTGACCGAGGGAGTGCGGTATTGGTCCTCGTTAAACTGTTCTACAGTAAAGTGCTCGACTTCGAGCACAGGTTGTCGTGCTACCAAAGCAGGGGTGCCACCCCCCTGCAGAGGATCAAAATTGTGATGGCATGTCTTCGGANCGTAGGGACCGAGGGAGTGCGGTATTGGTCCTCGTTAAACTGTTCTACAGTATAGTGCTCGACTTCTCTCACAGGTTGTCGTGCTGCCAAAGCGGGGTGCCACCCCCCTGCAGAGGATCAAAATTGTGATGGCGTGTCTTCGGATCATCCTCAGGGATGTTTCCCAGACCGTCGCCAATAGCCTATTGTGAAACTCTAGTGCGACGTAAATGAACAACAACAGCATACAAACGTCACATCCCGTGTTACAGGAAGGACATATTTGCACTCCATCCATCCGTAAATCGTAATTTTGACCAGAATCAGAGCTCGATCAATCTCCGATCCAGTACCCCCATGAAGCCATAAATATGACTTCGACGCAGATGTATTTTATTTGCCAAGCATTAGCCACCCAAATTCAGAGATATATTTAGTTCACAATTTCATTCAGTGCCAGTATTATAGTCATATTTAGAAGAATAACTTCTACTTTTATTTTTAAGTTTCAATATAAATAAACAAGAGTCCGAAACAAATATGACGGAGGATAAATTAGAAGTCACATGCTTTTTAATAAATAACTAATTGATATTTCTGATCCATAATAAACATTTTAAAAATGCACGAAGCTTATGAAGTCATACCTATTGTACAAAAATTACCTCCTGGTCTCTCAATTGAATCAATATCAGCTTATGGTATTATTTTTCATTTTTTCTTGTGTTAGTCAATGATTTTCGATTTATTTCATTTCGCATCTCATTAATAGCTGTAAAACATATATTTTAGATAATCAAACTCGTCAATTTTTTAAATATGCCATTTTATAATGTTTTCCGATTTTATATTAAATGAAATCGGAAAAAAATATAATTTTTTCAGTGTAGCTGTTAGCTTGGCTAATTTTTATATTATCTTGCTGGAAATTTAAAAGAATAATTTTTAAACTTGGTTAAAATATATAATTGTTTTTAGTATGAGGAAAAACATCCCAAGCGTTTGATAATTTCTCAAATAATGTCACTGATCTTCCTTCTTTTAATAGTGGCTCAATGGCTTCTTACCGTTTTAGGTTGTGTAATTTGATTGGAAGAGTAGGTAATAAAATTCTACTCATCAACATTTGTTTTAAAATTACTTGATTGAAACTTCTGCAAGATTTATTTATAGCACAGTTTTACACATTTGGTAGAAAGCTTTACATAAGAAAGTAAAATGCATGTTTTTTACCATTGCGTTCACCGTTTTGTATACCTTGATAATAACCAATATCACTTGATAATAATTAAGTTATTATTGTTTTATAATTATACTTATTGGATAATTATACTCATAGAGGATAAGGCTTCATAATTTCGTGACCAATGTCATGAAGGTGGCAATGTGATCAGTATTATGCAATGTCCATTTTTACTTCCTAAATAAGCTGGTACCCCTCAATCAGAAGCTTTGTGGGCTTCAAGCTGCCACCAGCGATCAAACTTTAATTCTTCACATTGACAGTCTAGTACAGGGGTGGCCAACCTGCAGCTCGCGAGCCACATGCGGCTCTTTTAACGATTATTTGAGGTTCTCGATAAATGTACCCGAGTTCTCTTTTCATTTTTGTGCTATTATATTTCAATATTTACTGAACCCATTTGAAATTAACATAATTCAAGGTGATTTTTCGATTTCTAATATAATTATGACCCAAAAAGCATCTGAAGAATTAGAATTAATAGAGATGCAAGACGATCAAGCTCTACAATTAAAATATAAGTCGAGGTTGATGACTGAATTTTGGAAATTTGTACCAGAATCGAAGTATCCTGAATTAAAAAAGGCTGCTTGCCTAATTATTTCAATGTTCGGAACAACGTACTTATGTGAATCATTTTATTCCACTTAAAAATTCGTGAAATCCAAACGCAGATCAGTATTAACTAACCAGCATCTCAAAGAATTACTGAGAAGTGCTGTCACCAATTATTCAGCAAATTTTAAAGAATTGTCAAGAGAAGTAAAATAAATGTGTCTAATTTTTAATATTTAAATTTGATGCACATATTTTGTACTTTTATTTATATGTTTTCAATAAATATAATTTCTATAAAAAGAAATTTAATACCTTTATTGCATACCTTTTAAATACATATTTAATTGCGGCTCGCAAAAAATTTCAAATTTTGAAAAATGGCTCGGCCATCAAAGAGCTTGGCCACCCCTGGTCTAGTATCTTAACCACTGAGCCATCGCTGCTTTTTCTGATATTTCGATATTCATAATTGCTTAAGTAAAGTTATGTCATATTTTATTTTATCAAGGACTATTTTCAGGGGAAAATGATTTGTTTTCAGATTAAAATTTTGAATTTAGTTTAAATATTGAAATTTATTTTAGATGATTATCTTCTTGTTGGAACTAAGTCTGGGACACTACTATATTACCAGTTGGTGCCAGCTCCAAAAGCTGCTTCAAAACCTGGTAATTTTTTCATGAATTTTTTATTATAAATTAAATTGCAATTTTCTTTGTGATTAAGATGATCGCTTCAAAAATCTAAATTCAAATAAATTTTAATACTTTACATACTTTTTTTTTCTTTGTACTATATTCATATTGTTATGTAGAAATTCATATCATGTAATTTTTTTAATCATTTATCAATTGATATGTATCATATCAGGTCTGCTGCTCATATTATTAAAAATGTTTGCTTTTCATTTAGTATTTCGTATTCATTTTCAAAATTTCAAATTAATATAATTCCTTAACTTTATTTGTCTTGAAAAACTGGCTGTTAGTTGTGTTATCCAAGAGACTATCATCAGTTTGCAACTGTATTGGTAGAAAAATTGATTTTTGAGTGATATATTTTCAGTAAAACTATTAAACTTATTTATTGCAAGCCCTTATATAACAAGATTCAATAAATAATGGAAAAAAGTTTTAAAAAACAATTGTTTTAATGTTAAAAAATACTTATAAAACTCTTTAGTTGTAAGTAAAACTTGGATTTAATAGAAAAATTTTTCTAAAAAAGTGGACCAATCCTTGAATTAACGAATAAATTGTATATGGTCAGTGTAATGCTTAACTGAAGATGTTGCAATGGGAAACATTGAATAAACTCTATCTTCTGCTGCTCACGTCTCTCAGGGTTTTTAAAAAGATTTGATTTACGTTTTTTAAAAGCCGTTAAAGGTGCTTTTTTTATTCGGGGTTTGTAAAAAGTGCTTAATTTTTTATCTTTTAAAAGGAGATTTTTTTCTTTGCCGTATTAATTGTCATTCTAAATTACAAAAAATGCATGATTTTCACCACTTTCTCGTAAAAAGTGCTTAATTTTTTATCTTTTAAAAGGAGATTTTTTTCTTTGCCGTATCGATTGTCGTTCTAAATTGCAAAAAGTGCATGATTTTCACCACTTTCTTTGCAATATTTATCAGAAATTAGTTATTTTATCATGATTGTGCAAAGTTTTTGATTTAGAATTAAGAACTTTAAACGATAAAATTTTTTTATTTTTTATTACTGCACAGATCCTAATGGTGATTTTTTTTGGAAAGTGATTAAAAATATTTTTTGATTGCTTTAAAAGTACTTAAAAGGTGCTTATTTTTGTTGAAAATTCTGGCTATGCATCCTGTCTCCGCATGAATGTTCTGGACCATATCCTGGATATTTATATCTGACCATATGCTGGATATGGTCTTTATTTTAAATATTTTTTTCATTTAAAAAAAACACAAATATTTGATGATAGGAAAGCATAAAAACAACAACACAACAGTTTTACAAACAGTTAGATTATAGCATAAAATATTTTGACGTTTGTGAAAAGTTTAGCTAAGTTCAAACATGTTTTTGTTCTTAGTTGTGTATTATTGTTTTAATTTTTGATAATTTTCCCAAATTCAGTTTAGCAAGTTTCTATGATTTAACTACCTAGCTAATAAGTTTGGTTTAACAAATTTTATAACTAATTGTTATGAGTTCGAAGGTATATATAACGACACTACTATTTTATTAGTCTTGATTTCTTTTTACTTATTATTTTAGGGTCCATTCACTATGATGTAAAGTTATTGCGGTCCAACAAGTCATTTTCAAAGAAAGCGATTGTGCAGGTTAAATTTGTTTCTTTTTATCTGTTCAAATTATAGGATAAGAAGATATTTTTAATATAATTTAATTTTACCTATTTTGTAATGCACAGTTTTTAGTTGAGCGTGTTTTAAATCTTGAATTTGCAAACTATTTGAAAAAATTTGCATAAAAATATATTATTTTTAAATATAGTGTGCAACCAATCTTTATTGAACTCTTAAACATAGTTTTTTTAAAATTTTATTTTATTAAGTTTTAATATTACCTACTTAAAAAAGCTCTCAGTTCCTATCATTTTTAAATTTAAACCTTACATTTTTTTTATCTAAAAAATTTCATTTACTTAATGGTTTAAACGATATTTAAATAGCATGCTGTGTGTAGGGTTTAGGATTCGACTGCACTCGATTATTTATCTAATCAACTTTAATAAAGGAACACTTTATATGTCCGGTATATAAAGAAAAAGAGTAAAATAAAACTTAAATAATAAGGTAACATAAAGTTAAATTACTAAAAGTGCAAATTCCTCAGCGTTCCTTTCTATTGTATTATATTGCAATTTATGCATTCTGTCCATTTGTTTTCTTCAGATAATTCCGTTTAATATTTAATCTGATGTTATAATTTGTATTTTACACAAGTTAAAAATTTTTAAATTTACAAAAAAAAAAGAAAAAAAAAATTGAAAGTTATAACAACAAAACAAAATCTTTCCATTTCAGTTTTCACTAATATGAAAACTAATAGTATTAGTTTTTATACTTAACCATATATTTATTTTATTTTAGTATATAAACTTAACTTTTTAAGTATAATTAAAACGCTTCACCTGCATTACAATTTCTAGACTACCAGCATAGATTTTTGACAATTTTTGAAGATTTCAACTGTTTTTCATAGTTTTAACCAGTGTTTGTCATAATACAACTGTGTTACAATACAACTGATACAACAAATAATACAACCATGTGCCGTAGCTTAGAAATATATAGTTAAAATTTTTTAGTAAAACTATCTAATGAATAAACACAGTTCTCAATAATCTTAGAGAACCTCCAATTTTCATGTTTTTTTATTTTATCAAAGATTAGGGAATACTGCACTGAAAATGTGTCTTGTAGAATAATTTTGTACTATTGTTGATAAAGTCTTACTTTTCTACTCTTCAATAGTTGTTTCATCCACACTTGCAGATTCCTCACAATATGCCAAATTGTTCCTGTTTTTAAACCTGTCAAGCCAGCCCTTTGATGCAGTAAAACCTTCCAAATTCCGATAGGATGCGATTTCCAAGGCCTATTCTTTTAAAATTTTATCTGTTAATTGGTATATTTGCAGAACGTGCTTGCTGAAACCATTCCAGCAAAATCTTTTCTAGTTCTACGTAAGGGGTAGATTTCACTTTTCCCCCTAAAGTCTGTTACTTGCTGATTAGGAATTGTTTTGGAAGAAGATGGTGCAAATCCTAAAGACGAGGCCAATTCATTTTTGGTGCCAACAAATAGTTTCAATAATGCGTGCTTTTTCAGCCAAGGAAAAGCATTTTTGTTTTTCAGCTATTTTACAGTACGATTTCTCAATAAATGAGACGTAAAAGAAAGGGTAATTTTAACTACACCATCTTTAAGTTCCCAATGCTGTCTAATTGACTTTCTTCCATTGTACGTTTGATAAGCTGACATTGATGTGAAAGGAAAATAGAATTTGTTTCACTGGTCAATGCAATACCAGACTCAGAACAAGGGGTCGTGGATTAATAGATGCCCCTAAATATGTGATGATGCACTGGACACTTGAAAGATAAACACCACTTTAACAAAAGCGACGTGATCTTCTTTGCTTGTCTGCATTAAAGGGGAGAAGAAGTTCTTTTATTACCCTCAACAAGAGAAAAATAAGGAAAATATGGAATGTATCATAGTTGGGTGGTAAAAAGATAACTAAGCACGTCAGTATTTTTGGGCAGTAGTTTAGGAAAGCGCTCTTAATACCGTACTTATTTTACCTTATTGATAGAGGAACTAAAATGGGATTAGTCTGAAAGGAAACCGGGAAGTTTTTATTCACGGGAAGGGGGGAGGTATTTAAATCAAGAGTTCTGTAAATAATTTTAATATCTGTTTTAGTTATTTATTATAAAAATTTAATTCCATTCAAATGTGGTTAAATTTATTGAGTTAAATCAAATATGAATTGTATAAAACATTAAAAAAAAAGAAGCTTCAAATTGCATCTTAGATGTGCAGAATTAGAAATAGCATTTTATTGTAAAAACTTGTATTTAACAAAAATATAGTCCTGAAGCATGTTGAAAATTTTTTGAATAATATATAAAAATTAAGGATTTTTTTTTAAATTCAAAAATATAGCCTCAATTATGTTGAACAAAGAAAAATATGAGAATTTTTTTTTTTTAAAATTTAGAAATAAGGTCTCAAATTATATTTTTTTCTGAAATTTTGTATGAACCTTGTAAAATCTTTTGCATGTACTTAAATTATAAATAATTTTTTGCATATTTTTCTTATATTATAATATGTATCCTATATCTTTTTAGTTGCAAGTTGTACCTGAATTTCAAATGCTAATATGCCTTGCAGGTATGTTAAGAATTGAGATCTTTGTTTAATGCATTAGATTTGTATTTAATTACTCACTTTTAGATGAGAGAACAGGTAAACTGTTTTGATGCAATACACTTTCATATTTATACTTCACATATTTGCATTCAATTTTTAAGTAACTTTCAACCTTGTCAAAATATTACACACAGGAATAATAATACCGTTTGTGATATTAGTTGGAATACAAATACAAAGAAAACTGAAAAAAAAAAATTAAGTAATTCAAAAATTTCTTTAAAATTTTTTTTTGGTTAAATTTTAGAATGTATCGGAGAATTTATAAATGATTTAAAAAAACAAACAACTAAACACTACTTGATCAATAATTTCAGCATATAATGGATAATTTTATCCTACTGAAATAATTGCTACACACTAAATTAATACACTTATGCTCATTCATTTTCAATAATTAGCATAATTATAAAATAATATAATATAATTAATAATAACTATTATTAGCAATTTTTGTTTATCAATTTTCGACATGTACTTCATCTTAAGCTTTAAACACTGTTTATATCTTCCTAAATTACTCTTTAGGTATGTTGAAATTATAAATCTTACAAATGAGATTATTTATTATAGAGATACTATTTCATCTTGTTAAACAAATATTTAACATCACATGATAAACTATAAAAATTTAGATAAAAATCTTCAGAAATAAATAACACAAGTTTGAAAATTGGGTCAAAAACTGAAGATGAAGCAACACACTAGTAGAAAAACAATCACAAATGATCATAATTTTTCTGATTGCTCTGTAAAGTATAAAAGCAACAGTAAATTGAGAGACAACATCAGTTTGCCGCGAGTAAACGTCAGTAATCCATTCAGATGCACCATGGATGTCTTCCCTGAGCATCAGTCTTCCAAAATTACTCTGTTGAACCTACCAGACAACTTGGATTCCTTTAAACATATCGCCAATAACGGGGAGATCCCAGCCTTTGTGACCTTTAAGGAGCCAGAGTATCATCGAGTTGCTTACAATTTTTTGCCAATTGACTGTACCAGAAATCTCCAAAACAATGAAAAACTTTTTGCCTTGTATCTCAGATTCCAGAGTGTTTGACCCAAAACCCATGACTACGGAAAAGTATTGTCGAAAACTAGACCGCCAGCCTGAAAGACATCTGAAATATTCAGACTAGCTTCAAGTATCAAAATTTGTATATGGTGCACCATGGGTTTACGTTTGAGCAACAGATTGTGGATGCTGGCACAAAACATGTGATTCAGACTGCAGATGGCATGATGCAGCTGTTTGTCTATTCTGACAGGTCAGATGGACTTCGCCTATCCAACATTCCACGAAACTTTGATCTGTGTCATGACTTTCTGTACAAAAGGAGCCACTTTTGCTCCAGCAAGTGTTGGAAAAGTGACCACCACAGCCCAGTGAACAAAATTTCTTGCCAGAGATCCTAGAGGACCCCATTGCGTTTTTGGACGGTTTGAGCCCAAATGTTCTTGAATTTTTGAATGACCAGCAATGTTTGGAGGAGATTATCAACAGTTAGCAAGATTATGAAAATGTCACCTCGACTTTACAATGTGCATACAATCCGTAATCAAATGATATGTTTTTTTGCTGTAATTTTGCAAATTTTGTAATTAAATGGGAGGAATAAATAAATTGTAATAGTAAACTTATTGTGCTTATTCTTTGCTTTCAACACCAGCAATTTCAGTCAAATTGTCTTTGACCAAGTTCAAAATCCAATCATTTTACATTTTTTTCAGCATGCATCAATCAAAGGCTGTCAAACACTTCATTGAGTGAAATATTGTCACAAATCATGCTAAATTTTACAGATTCTGCTTCAGAGTGTGCATTTTATCAGTCCAAATTTCAATAGTGTAATTCAGGTAGGGTAGCCCCAAATATGTGCCCCACAGTGTGATTTCGTGGGTCTATATACACTTTTATGAAACAGCGATTTTGCCATTCGATTAACATGGGATGAGCAAAAGTGCATTTTTGGCAAAACGGTTTGACATGATGGTGTTATATATTTTTCTCTGTTCAGATATTCTTTTGATTCTCGTCCGCAGGGCAAGTTCAATACAAAAGCCATAAGCTTGAAAACTGGTGTTGTAGAAAACGGCAAAAATATATACGCAATTTTCACAAACGAAAAAATTAGTGGAGCAGAAAAAAATCCAATTTTAACAATAAAATTAGAAAAATGGAAAATTTTTTCTCCATAGAATTAACATGGGACAGTGTTTCAAAAAAGCCAAAAATGTAAGAAACATGCAAAATTTACAATCACAAAGAGAAAGACTGACCTTGAGAATACTGATTTTCACAATGAGAGGTTAAATCCAGCTTGTAATGAATAGACTGTATTGAGAGGGAACTTTCCTTTTTTCACCCACGAACAGCAACAGGTTCCAGTAGCCCTGAAGCTTTCTATTAGAAGTATGACACATGCTTGTTGGCTCTCCCTATGTATGGTGAGCGCTGATGTTTTAGTTCTCTGAATTTTTTTTTTGTGGCTCCAGGTGGTATGTTGGTATTAATTGGATAACATCGTACCAAGCATGCAAATTTTTGAATTTGACTCCTAGATCATTGTTTAAATATACAATTTCAGCATATTTTAATATTTTGGTTTATGAAAAATTAAAATTCAATGCAATAAAGCATTTATGTTAGGGTGATTTTATGTTTGATTAATATTACTTTATATGATCAAATATCATCACATCCACATGCTCGTATGCTCATAGTTTATTTTAGTCCAGATCACAATAAATGATACGGTTTGTAAATTTTGTCTCATTATTTGGTAATCTTTCAATTATTTAACAAAATTTTTGATAATCTAAACAAATTTCTTTTCTTTAGAGAATCTTAAATGCAACTAGATGCTATATGAATTTATTGAATTTTGGTTTATCACATGCTTATATCTAGCAGTTAATTGTTACTTTATTTGTTATTCTCTATATATTGTGCAGTAAAATTAATTTTGATTAGAAGAATGATTTTAATTAATTTCTAGCATTGAATATTATTTGACATCGTGTGTTATTTGATTAAAATTAATGATTCTCACTGATTTGATAATCTAAATTTAAAACATCATCAGTACTGCCAAAAGTTATTATTCATTTAAAAAAAAAATTTGAATTTTTTTGCAGTAGCGAACTTTGGCTTTTATTGTCGTCTAATTAGTGTGAAATAAAAATTTAAGTGGTATTTTTCTATGGCTTCTCAAATAAAATACTTAATATATATCCATCATTAAATCTATGTAATGCATTGACCATTTTCTAAGATATTCTCAAATTGTCTAAAGGGTTTTCCTTATTTATATTTTTAGAAGGTACTGTTGCTGCTTTTGATCTAAGTCAGTGTAGTTTAACGCCCATTGCAGTTTTGCAGAAAACGAAAGGAGCACATTTCTTCACAATTAGTGTAAATGTATGTATCTTTTTTATTATTAGCTGTATGTTATATACTATCTGCTAAGCTATTACTGTAAATTCCTACTCATAATGTGCATATTACCTGTTAAAAATCATGAAAATCTTCAGTGTGAGTAATCGAGGGTGCGTAGCGTTTTTAAAAAGTGCTTAAAGGAGCTTATTTTCGATTTTTGTTTTTTAAAAGCCCTTAAAGGTGCTTTTTTTCATTGGGTGTTTTTAAAAAAGTGCTTAATTTTCCCTTTTCCAAAATGAGATTTCTTTACCATGTCGATTTTCGCCTCTTATGCAAAATCGAGATTTTCTCATTGTTCTATTCAACTTTTGCACAATTCATTCAACCACAATTTATTTTGATGTACTCTCGGTCCCTATCATATGAAAGCGCCAATCATATTACATGTTTGATGAAATACTTGCGAGTTCGCTTGTGCGTCTTCGGAGCTGAGTTCGGTGAGATTATTTCACTCCCATGTTCAATTCTTCTGCATTTTGCAATTTCAGGCTTCAAATATATATAATATTTTTTAAGTGCTTGAAAAGTATTTAAAAGGTGCTTATTTTTTGTTGAAAGATTTGGCTATGCACCCTGGTAATCTGTTGAAATTATTTTCTGGGCATCAGACATTGTGAGTTTTCTATTAACTTTCATTCACCATAAAAGAATGTAAGGAACCATTCACAATACTTGTGAAAAGCTTGCATCTGAAAATTCAGAAATGCAAACTAGAACCTTATTAGTGAAATATATTGTTTCTGTGTGAATGCTCCTTTAATATAACTGCATGTTTGCTAGCCCATTTCCTTGCCAATACCCGTTGGCTATTATGTGATGTTGATTCTGCCAGTGGGTACAACGGTGCAGATTATACTTTCAAATTTTCCCACTAGAGTTAAGGATTTCACCTATAAATTATAAGCCACTGTGAATAATATACAGAGAATTATGTTACTTTTTTTATAAGTATGATGTTAAAGTTTTTATACAGCAATTATAAAAATATTGTATTATTTTAGATAACAAAGTTTTGCTTCATAAAAATTATGGCTTTAGAAATCCATTATAATGTTTGCAATTGTAATATTGTAAATAATTAATAACTTGCCTGTTTTTACTTATAAAAGAATAATAAATGTTGCAATAATATGATGAAAAACTGGATTTGTTTTTCAGAAACATAAAAATCTTGATGGAGAAGTATATCCCTCACTAACTCTATGCGTGGCTGTAAAGAAAAAGCTTCAAGTAACTATAAATTTTTTATATAATTTTTTATGTTAATCCATAAACTTTTTACTTAAAACAGTTTTCAAGGTTTCTAAATTTAATTTGCCAAATGTTTCACCCAGCTGTTCTTATCCTCTTGTTTCTTATCTGTGTTCTTTTACTTTCTTGATCATGCTTGTTACTCTTCTGTTCTTGAATTAAACCATTTTTCTTATTGCTACGTGTTTGTGAATTTTATGTTTCGACAGGATTCTTTTTTATAGAAACAAAACTATAGTTACTGTTTTTATTTGTGCTTTATTCATGTTGTTTTGCTTCATTTATGCAAGGTTTATCCAGTAAGTAATGTCAGTAAATCAATTAAAAAACTATTATCGATGCAATCAGTAATAACTCTCCTGCAGTAATGTATTGCATCTTGTGAGATTTTCTGGCTTTGTATTTATTATAGTCAGCCTATTACTGTATGTCCTTTAGAAACTTGGTGCAAGCTTCATCTAATTTTATTTTTTTATTTTATATTCTAATCATCATTAAACAGCTGACCCAATTTTTGGTTTGCGTCTACAAATGTTCAATTCCGTAGCCTTGTAAATTTGAACCAATCCAGAAGGCAAGGAAACTGCTGTGTCAGTACCCCCAGAGGTATGTTTTTGTTGTGGGAACATGGAGGACTTTGTGACTCGACAGCAGTCACTATTTACTAAACAGGGAGCCTAAGGTCGGCGGGGATCGAACCCACAACCTCTAGGACATGGGCCCAGTGTCCTACCAAACAAACTATCCCAGCCAGTCTCATCTTATTTTATTTTATTTTATTACCGTCATTGAACAGCCGACTCAATTTTATGGGTTTATGACTACTAATGTTCAACTCCATAGCCTTGTAGTTTTGAACCAAACCCAGAAGACAAGGGAACTCCTGGATTATTAAGAGAAATTTGCCTTCATGAAGGACTTTTGATGGAGCTAACCCGCATTTGCGTTACATGGAGAGGAAGACCAGGAGACCACGCCTGTTCCTGTTTGTCGTGTGTTTGGGAATAACCTCTTTACTAATACCAAATACTATCAATCTGAGTAGGCTGAGGCTGCAGCCTGTATTGGCTTCACAATAAAAACACTGACATTGTTTTTCTGATAAATCCTGTTATATTATTTGAAAGAAATTGCTAAAAAAGTGTTATTGAATATTTAAATATGATAATTTCTTTTTGTTTTTGTGTGTTTTGCTATTAGGGTATGTTTTTCTTTTGTTATCAATTGTGTGTACTTTGGTTTTTTCTTAAAAAAAGCCTGTGAGATCTTAAGTGTCTTAAATTTTTAATGCATATTAATTAATTTTATGTATATTAATAAATTTTTTATTTCTTTAGAATATATTGAATTTTGAATTGTTCTGCACTACATGTTTTAAAATAATTTCCCTTTTATTTTAGTTGTTTTATTGGAAGCCAAAAATATTAAAGTTCTTAGAGTTCAGTGTAAGTAGATCTTTATTATGTTTTAGCATTTTTATATTTTATAAAATTTTTTAGGAAATTTACACAAGAACAGAAGAATAAATTTTTTAAAACAACTTTTTTAGTAAAAACTCTAATTCAAATTGAGAAATGGGTTATTGATTTCAAATCATCAATAATGTTTTAAACTTAATTAACTCTTTTTTTTCAACTTTCGGTTTTAAGCAATATTAGTTAAAAACAACTTAAAATTAAAATATGTTGTATTTGTTTTACATCTATATTAGTAATACATAGTATTTTTCAAGAGAAACTTTGGCTTGTTGCTCTCTAAAAAATAATGAAATAAATATATATATATGAAATATAAAATAATAATAATTTATCATCAAATTTTGTTAGTATTAGATCACAGTTGTTTTTACTTACTGTTCATTTTATGAAATTTAATTATTAAAGAGATAAGTTTATATATTTTATNAAATTTATATATATATATATATATAGTATATGTTTTATTTCATGTTCATGTTGTTTCATAATTACCTCATAACTCATGTTTATTACATTCTTAACTCTACATTTCTTTATTTTCATTATTGCAACACTCTTTATTGAATTTTGTTAATGGAATTTCTTATCTAAAATTATCAGCATAATTTTTGTCTTGTTTATTACTTATCCTATAAAATAAATTGATAAAAGTTTATTATTATTTAAGGATGATTTATTACTAAGAGATATCCCTCGTACCATTGTGTGGTGTGGAGAATCTTTGTGTGTAGGATATAAATCGGAATACTCACTTATGAAGGTAATTTATTTCAATTAGTCATAATTTTCATACATTCCTGTAATTAATCATAATTTGCATAATTCTTTATTTTAATTGAGATTAATAATTTTTTCATTTAAGTCAACCTGCTTAAATTGATTATAGTCATTGTATCAGTGTGGATGAGGATTGATTCTCCGTCAGTAGCCGCCAATATTCGTATAGTGGAAAATAACTTCATGATTGTTCATTTAGGCCATTAATGAATGAATTAAACAATTAACTCTCCAGGAAACAATGTACAAATCGTTGAATGTAAATTAATTTTATTAAGCATAAATGGTGACAGAAAATGGCGACAGAGAATGGCGACAGAGAATGGTGACAGAGAATGGCCTTCATCCAAAAAAAATCCCTTAAAAGGATAAAAACCAGTATACTCTCTTATTGAGAGATCATACAGCCAGAATATCATTTCTGACGGTTAGAAATTGAGACAGGGGAGCCTCCCAAGGGCTTTCCCAGTCTCCACAAATTTGAAATTAAAAAAGTGAATATAATTATTCTTAACGGACCTCGAAAGCATGGGTAGAAGATCCAAAATTGGCGAATTATCAAAATATAACATAGCCAAAACAAAGCCAACCAGCATATCAGTATTGGGTTTAAAAGAACACCTTGACTATCACGAGTCGCCAACAAATTTATGAGAATTATTACAACCATGCAACCGAAACATTTAGCAGTTGGAAATTTAGAATAAAGAGTTATAAATAGATTTTTGTTTTCGATTAGAGGTGACAGTGAATTCATAAGTCTGCATTAGTAATGAAATAAAAAGTATCCGTTACATTAATGTAGAAGAGAAGAAATAAATATTTTATGTTCTTGTTTGTTTTAAAAGATTAAGTCTTTGATTTATTTTAAATATAATTCTATTAATAAAAAAGGCTTAAGTAAGGAAAGATATTTTAAAAAGGATAGAAAATAAATATGTAATGCCAATTATGGCATCACAAACAGTTTTCAGTTGTTCACAAACAGTTATTTATTACTAAAAACTGTTATCAATGATAATGAATTATATTATTTCCATTATAATGATAATTTACAAGTTTAAGTACTAGTACAAGTTACTAGTAGTTTTTAAATACTATTTACAATCAAGAATTATAAATGGTGTTTATTTATTTTTCTTAGATTGAATTTTAATACAAGTTATTAATGATGCAAATAAAATTTATTTTCATATTGTTCATTAATATTAAAAAATAAAATTTATAATACTTTTTTTTAAAAATTTATAGCTACAAAATTGCTGAAAAAGAAATTTTTTTCCACTGAAATGAATTTTAAATTACATTAAAAAAGTGCAAGGTTGCTTATTATTTAATAGTGCTTACAGTTAAATAGCTCACAATAATAAAATTATAAAAACAAATGGTAGTTTCTCAAACCATTTGATCAACAACTAAAGTCGAAAACTCACAATTCATATGAACCTAATAAAACTTATATTTAAAGGGCGTACATATTGTATAATGTAATGTATATCTTTTTGTTGTATAATGTACTTATTATATATAATTATATATATGTTTTTAGATCTAAGCAATATGTATTTATACATATTGTTTAATGTTAAAATTATTAATCTCCATTTATTTAAAAACATTTTTAAAAAAAGAGCATAATGTTACACAGTTATTTTAACTTGCATGTAAATTGATGTCATAAATATAAAAAGAGTTTAATATCATACAACTGTTTTAATTTACATATAAGTTAATAAATTATTAAGTGACAATTTTTAATAGTAAAATGTTCTCTGTTTTTTTATTTTTTATTTTTAACTTACATAGGCTTGTGAGGTTGGTAAAATTAAAATTGTTAAAATTGTTGATTGACAATTTTTGGAAAAATGAATGTTATGGAATAATTTTAACTTACATATGATATAAACTGATGTTAAGTAGCATTTTTTAAAGTATCATAATGGTATAGAGCTATGCTAACTATGTAAGTTTTCAAACATATTCCAACTTAAATATGATATAAGTTGATGGCATGTTAAGTAACAGTTTTTTTTAAATGAAGGTAAAATTTTATTTACCAATTTTAACTAACATGTATTATGAGTAGTATTTTAAAAGCATTCAGAAACACATAATGCGGTTGATTGGAGGAATAGTGTCTCATATTTCAATAAGGTTTTTTACCAGTGCAAAAAAGAATTTTGTAAATTTTTCTGATGTTGCCCTGCATTTTAGAATTGATTCTTTAAAATTTTTTAAAATATCGCATAAAATATTTTTCCGTATTTCATTTATTTTTGCTCGGATTTCAGATCAGTGGGGAGACTAAGGATCTCTTTCCAACTGGCGGAAATCAACTTGAACCACTTGTATCTCTTCTCCCCGATGAAAAATTAGCTGTCGGTAGTGATGAGCAAACAATATTAATTGACTCAGATGGAAATCCTACTATGAAGTATTCCATCAAATGGTCTGAAGTACCCTTAGCTTTAGGTAACAGTGTTTAATTATTTTAGGGACAATTTCAAGGTTATTTGTGTCGTTTGTGGTAATGCAAAATTGCATGTGTATACTACTAATGATTGTAAACATCACATATTTATTTTTTTAAAAACATTTTCCAGTTTTTTAAAACTTTTTTGAATTGAAAAATGTATATCTATTGAAATGTAATCAGCTGTTGGTAGTGATGAGCTAACAATATCAATTGACTCAGACGGAAATCCTACTATGAAGTATTCTATCAAATGGTCTGAAATACCCTTAGCTTTGGGTAACAGTGTTTAATTTTTTTAGGGACAATTTCATGCTATTTATGTCGTTTGTGGTAATGCAAAATTGCATGTATATACTAGTAATGATGTAAACATCATATATTCATTTTTTTAAAAACACTTTCTAGTTTTTTAAAACTTTTTTGAATTGAAAAATGTATAAATATTGATTGTTTAAACTCTTATGAAATGGTGTAAAATTAGTTGCAGAAAAAAAAATAATGCCATCAATGCCCTGCCAAGTTAAAGTTGGCAGTATTGACTATTCTCTACAGCAATGAGACTTGTGAGACTATATTCAGTCACATAACCAAAAACTAGACCTAGTTCTGTTTTTCTTCGTTAAAATAAACATTGGAGGATATTTTGACTAGGAAAGCAAAACAGAAAAAGTTTCAGAAAATTTATCAAAGGTTTTTAAAAAAATGCAAAATTAATCACTCAGTCTGTTTTAAAATAATAACAATAAACTTATTTTTCATTTTGCTAATTAGTAAAAATTTATAAATAAATTTAATTTTAAGAATGTGTTTATTTTTTTAAAATTTCATCTATATTGTTGTTTTGCTTTACCGTGATTACAAAAATTCACAAGCTTTTTGAATTTCTGAGGCTGGTAGATTTATCTAATATAATTAAATTGCAGGAATTTTGTGTAGTGTGTTTTGTGTAAGTGTTGTAAAAAATTAGAACTAGCTGAAGACGCAAAATGTTGCACGCATACGTCAATAACACTACTTGCTTAAACTTGTCTCTAAAATAGCTCTCAATTTTTAAATTGTATTAAATTTTTCATTCCTTAAAACTATTGTAAAAATAATTTCAAAAATTTGTTAATTAAACTGTGCAAGAGCCTATAAAAAGTTTAAAAAAAATCAACTCATTATGAAAAGTGTAGAACATTGCTAAAAGTATCTGATGTGAAGAATAAATTAAGAGGAATGAGCAAAGATGTGTGAGGCTTACAGACTGTAAACAGTTTTTGTCAGTTCTAAAATAACCTTAAAAAAATAAGTTTTACAAAATGGGAAAAAAATTAAAATATAAAGATTAAAATTGTTATAATAGTAATTTAAATTCAAAATGAATGTCTTGATAACTTTTATCTCTTGAATAAAATACGTGTTTGTAGATTTTCATATTATTAAAGTTTTTTTTTTATCTTATAGTTTATGATGAGCCTTATTTAATAGCTGTGCTGCCATCTGCTGTTGAGGTTCGACCCATTGAGCCTCGCATTCACGTTCAAAGTATTGATTTACCAAAGGCTAAAATGATCGTCACTAGCAAGCAGTAATTCTTTTTTTAAAATTATATGTGATTGTATTTTAGTATGTTAATTTATAATTTAAGAACTCTTTTAAATTATTAATTTCACTTTATTCAAATAATAATATTTAAATTATTAACGTCTTTTAATTTTTTGAAATTTGTATTTAAATTTTTCACAGAATATTTTAATGCTAATAATTAAATCAAATTTATTAATTGAATTCTATACTGATTAATAACAATTGTAGTGCAAGTACTATAATTTTCTGAACACAATTGTTTCTTACGAATTACAGGGGATGGGTGTTTGCTGCCTCTAACTCTGATGTGTGGCTTTTACATGCCGTGAACTTTCCTGAACAAATTACACAACTCTTGTCTCAAAAACAGTTTGATTTGGCTCTCCGCATGGCTGTGAGTGTTAATAATACATTATGAGCGTACAAGTTAAGTAAAAATAAAAAGATGTCAGGGGTCTGTTTAGAAGAAATTTGGGTCCGTTAACGGACCCTTCACAAAATGTCTTTTCACAAAGATGTTTAAACTGAAATAAGGAATTATAGATATTTTTTAAAGTTAAGTTTGTTTTACTTAAATTTTTTTTTAATCTACAGAGTTTATGGCAGTGAATTAGAAAATACTGAATAATATAAAAAAGGTTGTAAAAAAAGGTTATAAAAAAGGCTCATTGTTTCAAAAGTTTTGAGGTTTTCCTCAAATTATGGCACTGGTTGTGATTTATTTTCTCTGGAAATAAAAAATAACATAATTAACAGTAAATTTTCAACATTTATGCACAGATCATGTGAATAAAAATATTTCCTTATTGTTTCAAAGCCTTTTCTACAAATAATGTCACCGGTTGTAATTTATTTTCTCTGTGTTCATCAGTATAACTTTGCACTTCTTCAGCTTTTGCCACTATATCTTGAACAGACAAAACCACGAGCTTCAACATTTTCATCAACTGATGCATAAATTTCAAATGTTCTGTTTGAAGAGTTTTCCTCTAACTTAAGCGAATTCTCACTTTCTTTGTCATCATTATCATCAGAAGTTACTCTTTTTCTTCTCAAAACAAAATAATTTCTTATTTTTTTAAAAATTTCTGTAGAATTTCTGATTGATAGATTTGAGAATATGTTAGTTTCAGAAGTGATCTAAATGGGGTATTATTAACCTTATAAGAATATAATTTTTGGTGGGACCATTGAACAAGACAATACATATGGGAATGAGGGATCGATTTTATTCTTTCATAAGATTTTCTATGAAACATTCGCAGTGTATCCTAAAAAGTTTTTATTTATTTTGTATATATTTAGGAGATGACGCCTGACTCTGAGATTGAAAAGAAACAGATTGTTCAGCGAATCAATAACTTAAATGCATTTTATCTATTCTGCAAACAAAATTTCAAAGATGCTATGGAGCAATTCATCAAGTTGGAAACAGGTTCACTAAATTTCATTTTTACTTTATTTTAGGACTTTGATTTAAAGTTAATTTTTAATAATATTTAACTTATTTATGTGAATTGTTGATGTTATTTGTTAATGATGAATTAAGAGAGAAACAAAACTGCAAATTTAATTAACATTGTTAAAAGTTAAAAGGATGAAGGATGAAGATGAAGGAGGAATGATTTCCTTTTTGGACTTATTTAACTGAATTAGGTGATTTATTAATTTTATTTGTTAATGATGAATTATAGTTCAAACAAGCTACAAATTTATTTAATAATGTTAAAAATTAATGATTTCATTTACTGAAATATTTAACTGAATTTATGTGAGTTAAAAGTTATAATTTTTATAAATATTTAATTGAATTATGTGAATTATTAATTTCATTTGTTAATAATTAATAACAAACAAAGCAAACTATAAGTATATTTAATGCTGAAAGAAATGATTTAATGTTAAAAGAAATGATTTCATTTTCAAAATTATTTAACTGAGTTATGTGTTTTATAAATTTTATTTGTTATGATGAATTGCTAGCAAAATCAACTGCAAATTTATTCAATGATGTAACAAGTAATCATTTCATTTTTGGAACAAGAATCTCTTATGCAGATGGTTTACCTTTTTTTTATGGAAATACATATATATATATATTTTAACATTTTGTATTGAAATTTTAAGCTATCGATTGTAGTTGGTAAAGGTATAAATAAATGTAAGGTTATAAATTTACAGTAGTCTTCACCTAATGTGATTATGCTATCAAATGCTTATCGTTATCAAATCCTTTGGTCCCGATTTTCTCTATTTGCATGCTAAAATTATCGCTTTCTGTGGTGATTACATAATTTAATGTTATCTGTATTCTTATTTAGTTTTTTGAAAATCATCTGAACTGTCAACAAAAAAAAATATTCCCTGTGTATTCAGAAGAAAGCTGTTCTTTCCTTTCCCTGCATTTTTATTTGAATATTCACTTAGCTTCCACATTAACAGAATCAGAAATTTGTCAGATTGTCATCTGAAAAAAGATGATGGAACTGATGGGTCAGATAAAAGTGTTGACATGTCAAGTACAATGCCACTGTTATTTAAAATAAGATGGATGATGGCACTGATGGGTCAGATGGAAAAGATGAAAGTGTTGAGAGATGCAGTACAATAACACTGTTATGGGAAAAAAGATGGTTGATATAACTGACTAGTCAGAAAAGAATGTTGAAATGTGGAGTACAATATCACTGTTATGAGAAAAAGGTAGATGATGGAACTAACAAGTCAGATGAAAGCAATGGAAGTGCTGAAATGTTGAGGACAATACCACTGTTTTAAGAAAAAAGATAGATGATGGAACTGATGCGAGAGATGAAAGCAATGAAATTGTTGAAACATGGATACCGCTCTCTGACTTTAAGTGATGGTTATAATTATGAACAATTTATAAATGAGCTTCTTAAGTAAAATTGTATACAATCAACGATTGATGATTTTTTTTAAAAATTGTGTATAGGTTTTATAATTTTTATTAAATTTTATTTTCAAATTCAGTATGTGTGGCTTAAAGTGATAAATTTATCTAATTTTGAGTTATTTTTATTGTTATTACTAGGTTGATGTTATCAGTATTAACAAAGTGTTCAAAGTGTATTAAAAATTTGTGGAAAAATTGATTAATGTTTTGAATAGATGTGTGGTAGCTAGTGAATGATTGTAAAGTAGTAATTTTTAAAAAAAATTTATATTAACTAGATCCCTCGCATGTGATTGGGTTATTTCCGAATTTACTGCCTGAAGAATTTCGTAGTAGCTTGGAATATCCTGATAGATTGCCTAATTTGCAAGGAACTGAGTTAGAAGATGGACTGGTTGCATTGACTAATTATCTTGTTGAAGTAATTCTGTCATATTTTTTTAAATGTCCTTTTGGTTATTTTAATTTTATGTTTAAAGTGCAAAAATTTTGTATGCTTTCTGTAATACCTGCTATTTAATGTGTTGTAAAGCTATTTTTAAATAAAGTAAAGAGTGATTTTATTTAGTATGGAATAGTTTACTTTTATAGCTCATACTATTTATTATAAATAAATTTTATATAAGAGAACTTAATTTCTTTGGTCTGAATGCCCTTTTGTTCAGATTTTGACATATAGAACAATAACTAAGTTACATTTCATCTTGTCACACAAATTCATTATTTTACCATTCAAATTTTTTTTATCTGCTAGGCAGTTGAAAAAACAAAATGCTTTTTATCTACTATGCAAGCAAATTCTGAACTAAATATAAAAGTATAGTAAAATGTCTATATGACATAATTCTATAAACTACTATTTTCCCGAAATTGGATTAACTTAACAATCTCTAAATCAAACCAAAATCAATAAATTAGTTGGATTTTTTTTGTAATTCACTTGGGCATTTTAATTATTTCCATAAATATTATTTACTTTAGTGTATATTTTTGTGTTTGAAAATATATTTGTATTTAAAGTATAAGTATTGAACTGTTTCATGTTTCAAAGATTTTGTGCCATGCTTAGCAGTAAAGCTTATTGATACTCGGAATGATTTGTATAACACAAAATTCTACATAAAGCAAAGCGTTGTAATGATCTTTTGATCTATATATCATTAGGATATACCTTTTTCAAACAGGACTAAAATTTTATAATTGGATTTGATCTTGAGTTTTGTGAAAAAAATGATACATCTTTTATAGAAGAAAGAGAATACTACTTTTATGAAAATTAACTATTCTCATAAAAATTAAAAGAGTAATAATATTAGTCTTCATTTACTGATCATTGATCGTCATGTTTTTGATATTACACATAATAACTATTAATAATGCCTGGCGTTTTTCTTTTCTCTTTAGATTCGAAGTAGACTTCTCTCAGATAGTAATAGTTCTGTGCCATCTATGACTGCAATAATGGAACCAGGGAAAACGAAGTTTCGTTCTAAAAAACAGCTCTTACAAATCATTGACACGACTTTACTCAAATGTTACTTACAGGTAAAGTTATGTAATTTGTTTTGTTCTAAACTACAATTTCTTTTTAGTTTGGTTTTTTATTAAGGAGTTAGTCTATTTTTTTTAAACAAAAAAGAGCATATTTAGGTAATTTTTTTTGCAAGCCATTGGAATAAATTAAAATTCTGAAAATTGTTATTAATATTCTTTAAAAATGAAATTTTTCTTGTAAACCACAAGTGAAGTTTTTCAATGAATCCTTTATTTTTGAAGGGTATATTGATGGATAACAGCACCTTTGGTCAAGATAAAAAATTAAATTGTTTTTTTATTTTAAATGAAAATTGATATAGAAGTACTAAATAATAATATTCCTATGGAAGTACTAAATAATACTAAATTTCCAAAAAAAAGGAATATTTTGTAAAAAAAAAACTTTTTGGAAGTCCTGTAAAATTCTTTAAAAAACTAAGAATAAAAAGAAGTAATCTTACTTCAATTAAAATGAAAAACAATTGTTTTTAAATGCAACTAGTTACAGAAGTACTTAGAAATGCCAAACTGTACAGAAGTACTAAATTTTGCAAAAAATTGTGCATTTTTTAAAATAAGTAAATAAATAAAAATTTCTGAAAAAAAACCTTCAGAAAATTGTTCAAGGCAAACAATAATAATATTGAAAAACTGTGCTTTATTTTCTTCATGAGCTTTGCAATTCAGATTTGTTTTTAGATTCTATTTTTGACCAGTATTCTATTTTGAATAACTTGTTATTAAAATAAGAAATATCTAAATTAATTTTGTGTCATTGATTAATCATTTGATGATTCAGACTGTAAGATTATAAATTTTTTAAATTTTACTACTATTTCTGCCAATGTGGAGATTTATTTATTAAAACGATTTGTTCAATGAGGTTTCTATGAAAAAAATACTTTCCTTTATTTAATATCTGCTTGTCTGGGTATCTGTTTTTTTTAAAGCTTTGAAAGTTAAAAAAAAAGAAGAAAAAAAAACTATCTTTGAGGTGGATAAAAAGACCAGTATTTTAGTCAGATAAAAAAAAGATGTATTAAGTTTAGTTACACGAAAACAGAACTTTTAACTTGTTCATAAACATATGTCTATATTAGACTGGCATGTGATTGAGGTTTATGTAATGTATGCATGTTGCATGTATGTAAAGTTTGCTGTGCATATATATTTTTAATGTGCACTAACGTCTTATTTTAGACTAACGATGGATTAGTAGCCTCCTTATTGAGGATGAAGGAAAACTACTGTCACATTGATGAGTCTGAACGCGCTCTGAAATTGCATCAGAAATATCGGGAATTATTGATACTCTATAATAAGAAAGGAATGCACAGAAAAGGTATATATTAAGTTTTTTGTGACTTAATGATGGTTGATTGATTTTAAAAATGTAATTTTTTCATATTTTGCTTTCATTTTTATTTAGTTTGTTATTTCTTAAGCCTATTTTAAAGTTTTTATATATTTATTTGTTTAATCTTTTAGTTCATTAGATTCTTAATCTTTTTGACCGACCTTTCGGCTGAACTTTTCAGGTGAGAGATAGTTATTTTTGGATGATCCAAATAAATCCATTGAGCTTGATTATTAAAACAGAAACAAACAAGGTGTTAAGATTTCGTATCAGTATTTAATGTTATGAAAAAGCATGTATTCATCTATGCAACACATGAAAATATATAAGCTGTTTTCAGATCTCTGATCTTGCTAACCTTTCTTTCCTGTTGCTGTTGACTAGTATTGATTAGTATTGTCCACTCTTTACTTTAATGTTAGTAATCAAGAAAAAAAGTTTCACATTTCTTACAGGTTTTGAATAAATTCTTTTATACTCAATTTTAAAACATTCCTTAATAAGTTAAATTTTAAATTTAGACGAGTCCTGAATTTAAATTTATAAATAGTGAATTTTAATTTTATGTGTATAAAAAGTTATAAAGTGCAAGTAAGACTTTTAATTAGGAGTTTGTAATAAATTTATGCAAAATGCTGTTTTCAAAGTAATTGTTTGAACTGATAATAGTATGTCTGGGTATGTAATTTAATGCAAAAGGCTCTGACTGGAGCATTACGAATGGAACTGTCCAGTCATAGCAGATGCTCGAAAAATTTAGTACCTTTTTTGAAAATGGGAACCCTTTTTGTTCATTTTCTCAAAGAGCTTAATTGTTTAAATGCTATACATCTGTAAATATATAACATAAATATCCTGCTCCATTAAATGATTTTCTATGTTTAATAGATTTTCGTTTGGGATTATCAAAAATTTTTATTTAATGACGAAAACCATAAATTCTATGTTAAGATATTTTTGAAAGGATTTTTCATTATTTATTAAAAAGAAAATATATATTTTGCTAATGCACTCCTGATTATCTTTCTCAATATGGAAAAATTATCTATGGTCCTGTTCTGTGACATACTTTTTTATAATAACGTAAACAAAACGACGTAAGTCTTGAAATCTCAAAAATAATTGCAACAGCCAGCTTCATTAGTTGAAGATCATTATTGAAATCCTATTTAATAAAAAGTACAAAGATCTTTCTGTACAAAGTATTGATCAAATCAATCTTGACTTATGCCTCAGAGACATGAACCTTTACAAAAAAGACCTTGGAAATCTTTGAAAGGAAGGTCAGGGCCAACTGTATTGAGGGTTTTTAATACCCTCTTTCTCTCTCCTTTTTATAAGGGAACAAAAAGCACAAAAAACAGATGAAAAGACCGTGTGAATGAGAACTTTGTTATCTTGAAAGGGAAGAACTAGAGATCAATTTCTAAGAGAAGCAGATTGGGGAAAGTTTCTATGGAAGATCCATGTTGTGACAATGCTGATGATTTATTGGTTATTCTAGTTGCATTTTCCTCATAGTTATAATTCATAAATCAAATAACTCATTTACAAGTTAAACATTTTATTGGTACTGTGAAATCTGTCAAGTTGACCACCAGTCAAGTTAACCTCTATTATCAAGAACCAAATTTATTCTACATAATAAAAGAGAAATCTTTCCACTTGTTAATCTTGTTTGTGAGCCACTGAATTAAGTCTGATTTATTTAGGAGTGTTATTCTACACTCTTCATAAGTTGATCAAAATGTGAATCATAAGTTGATCTGAATTTTATTCTAAAATCTTCTTAAGTTCATGAAGAAAAAAAACCTTTTTAGAAAATTTTCTAAGCTATTGTGTTATGCATTAGAATTTCACTGAATAGGTAAAACAGTATTAAAAGCTATTCTGAACTCTATTGTGAGTTAATCATATGAGAGAATTATTTTTAACAAATATGTTTTTAAGTTAACATTAAACAAAATAAATTTTTAAATGTTGAATCAATGTTAAATTTTCTAATTGCATATATGTTATAGCACATTAGCATTTTAAGAAATTATTTTTAATAAATGTTCTTTAACTCACTGACGGTTCTGCATTTAAAAAGTTGTATTTTAATGTGCAGTCTTCTCCGCTTAGTAAAACTGGCTTTTCCATGTTAATAGATAGGGGAATAGTGTATAGGAGAGAAACATTCTCCCAATTTTCTAAACCGCCAGTTTGTTAATAAAATATGAATTTTTTTTAAAAAGTTAATTAATTTATTAAATTCAAATAACAAATTATAATTTATTCTGCTACTTGATCTCATGGGGTGTTTGATGCATAAAATTTTAAAGTAATTTTAAAAAATTTAATTATGTTTATCTTTATTAGGAACATATTAGAAATGAAAGAAGAAACACAATGACTCAATCTTTCTCTCTCTTATAAGTTGACCAACTGTCTAAGTAGACCCCTAAAGCAATTAACCGTGTTTACACCAGTTCCACTGTACTGCAGCAAAAAATCACTAAAATATGTGGCGATTTGAACTAATAAAATAACTTTTTTTCCTTACTCCAACTCAAATTATTGATTGTGATATTTTGAAATCTTGATACTTTAATTTCTATATATAATACTTATAAATCTTATTCATTTTCAGCTCTTGAATTGTTAATGAGGCATGCCAAAAAACCTGATTCCTCTTTAAGAGGCCATGAAAAAACTATTCAGTACCTCCAAGATTTAGGTAATTTCTTATAATCAAAAGTGGATAGTTGCAGTAATGGTTTTAATAATTTTTTTAAAAATTAAGTTAGTTTGAATAATCTCTTTTAGAAGTTGCAGCATTCTTTGTAGAATTTTAATGTCTGGTTGTGTTTTTTTTATTATTGTCGTTTTTCAAATTAGATCAAATTAATTTTAATCTAATTAGAGCTTTAACTGAATTTCATTAATTTTTGTTTTCTGTCTCCATGTTGATTGATTGTCAGCCAATGGAATTCAGGTTTCCATGTGGTTCAGTATAGAGAGATGTACTTTATGTTTCACTTTATATTTGCTGTGTTCTTAAATGTTTATTATCATGTTTAATAATTTTTTTTTAAACTTTCTCCAACTTTTCCTAAAACCATTATTATTTTACACAATGAATGTAAAAAGCATTAAATGTTTTTCTCAAAAGTGTTAAAATTGGTAATTCTAGTATCAGTGACATTTTTTTTCCTACATAAAAATCATTAGATTTGAATAAGATTCATTCATCAGAAATCATTAGATTTGAATACCTTAAGATCAAGCTGATTCTCCAAATGGCTATAAAATTTTACATTGTTATACCAAACTACTAAGGTACAGAAATCTTTTTAATTGTTGTTTTAAATTCAAATGCAATTTCTGCTTCTGATTTCATGAAGAATTGCTCCAAACACTCAATCATGTTACTAAGCTCAAAAAGTTTGGGTTTTTCAACATTGATGAGGAAAGGCTCATATATTTTCTGTGCTATCAGTCTTTATTCTATCAGTAGTTAATGCTTGGACAGTTAAGGCAGGTAATGAAATCAGTTATTGTTCAGTTATATGAGTTAATTATTAGAAATTAATAAGGCATGTTAAAAGTTAATAATTTATTAAAAGTTTAATTGTTAAGATTTTTAACGGTGACCGCTTTTTAAAAACATGTGGCCAATTGTGAGAATGAAAAAATTAACATGGTGCATAGCGTTTTTAAAAAGTGCTTAAAGGTGCTTATTTTCAATTTTCGTTTTCTAAAAGCTCTTAAAGGTGCTCTTTTAATTGGGTGTTTTTAAAAATTGCTTAATTTTCTCTTTTCGAAAATGATTTTTTTCTTTACCATGTTTATTTTCAATGCGTATTATGCAAAAGCGTGGTTTTCACATCGTTCTATTAAACGTTTTCACAATTCATTCAACCACAATCTATTTCAGCGTACCGTCAGCTCATAGCGTATGAAAGAGCCAATCATTTTACAGGTTTGATGAAATACTTGCGAATCCGCATGTGCGTATAGTGAGCTGGGTTTTGTGAGATTATTGCACTCTCACGTGCAACTCTGCTGCATTTTGCCAGATATTGTCAGTTTCAAGCTTCACTTTCTACCCTCTGAAGTCAAACCGAAAAGTCCCTTGATCATTTTATAATGGCTAATATAATTAAGAAAAGAGTTCTTTGTCAAAAACTAGTTATTTTATCTTGATCATGTTAAGTCTTTGAAAATTATTTTGCATTTTGTTAACGTATATAGTGCTTTAAAATATTTTTTGTGTGCTTAAAAAGTACTTGAAAGGTGCTTATTTTTTTTGAAAGATTCGGCTATGCACCTTGATTAATGTAAGATCTTGAAGCATTTCTTAAAATATGGTAAGCATTACAAGGTTTATTTCTAAAATGAAGAAAAATGTAAAGAAACAACAGTTAAATAAAGTAATTTTCAGAATGTTTTGAAAATCATCATAATAATTCCATATTTATGAAAAAAAAAAATACACATGGGATGCATTTTTGACAGAAAAAGTGGTTATCATGTGGTGACTGGCAGATAATTTTTTAATTGCTGTTTATTATATTAGTTGGAGAGTGGCAATCGTAAATTCCCCCTTTAACAGAGTAGATTAAAAATTGTTCTATTACACCAAACACCCAATCGCATTACAAAGTCATATCATATTTGATACTCTGAACATTAATTATGAGAAGCTCATATAATGTATCTGCATTAGTAAAGAATACTTTACCAGTTATTAAAAAATTATTACATATTATTATTCGTTTTGTTAACTTGTTTCTTTATATTATTGTAGGGGCTGAGCATTTGGAGCTGATATTTGAGTTTGCTAAATGGGTTTTAAAAGAACATCCGGAAGATGGCTTAAAAGTATGTGAAAGCAAAGCATTTTCGTCCATTTTCATAATTTATTATTATAATATTGCGTGTTACTATCTATCAAGTTAATTTCACAAAACTACATTTTTGTTTAAATCTCTAGTCAAAGTCACTAAAAAATTGCTATTGTGGATTATATTCACCAAATGTTACTTAGTCAAATATAAAATTATGAAAGTTTTTTGAAATCGGATTAAATTTTAGTTTTCACATTCAGAAAAATAAAATTTTGAATATTAAGTAACTATTGAAAAATGTAGATGAAGATTTAAGTCTCAGGAAATGTATTTAAAAACCTTAATATAATCTGCATAATAACTTAACTGAAAGATCGGGTTAAGAAGTGAAAACATTCAGATTTGTTGATTCTTGGAAATAACATGACAATTTTAATTTTAAAAGAACATATATATAATCTCTAGGAAACCTAAATGTCACATTTCATATATAATTTTTTCACTTTTACTTAAAATTTTCATCTCATTTTTGCACTTAATAGTTTAAATATGTTTTATATTTATGCTGTTAAAAAAGAATTTTTTAAATTTTTTTTTTATCTTTTAAACATTTTTCCATTTTACTAAATTTTTTTATTAGTAAATATATTTTTTGTAAAACTTTTTATCATCTTGACTCTATCAACTCTGAAAAAAAAATTTTTTTTTTATACATTTATTGGTCACATTTTTAAGTTGATATGACACTTTTCTGAAAATTCCTATTTAAAATAGACTTATTAACTCATGCTTTTGAATAAATCTAATGTTTTCTTGAATTTATTTTTAATCAAATTACATAATATTTATAGGGTATTTTAATCTTTTTTTTGCAGTGTATTAATTCTAAGATTCTTTATTGAGTAAATATAATGATATCACCAACAATTTTCATATCCCAGCTGTGTTACAGAATTTTATATTTTAAATATGCTAACTTATTTAGGATTTTGATTAAGGCTTTCAAATGTGATATCAATTGAGAAATTAGCACATATTATCAAAGTGCAAAGAAAAAAGTTAAAATTTTGCATTCAGAAGTGCATTGAAAAATTAGCATAAATTATCATAGTGCGTAGAAAGTTAAAATTTGTTTTTTTTTTCCTTTAAAAAAAATTGTAATTAACACCATACTAATTATAAAACATTTGGTAGAAAGTCTGCACTTTAGTACTTTAAAGTCTTTAGTAAAGTAATCGGAAAATATTCACGAGAGCACTTCTGGGTGTTGGTGAACAAAAATGTTAAATTATATAACATATATATACACAAATAATAAAATAATACAAAAAGGAAAACAATAAATGGGAAAAAACCAATAGTCTTCCTCAAGACACATCTATTAGTATTATTTAATGCCATATTTCTGAATAAAGAATAATTATCCTAAGATAAAAATTATAAATATATATCTATATATATATATGTACAGTCGAACCTCGTTAACTCGAACCTCCATTTCACGAATTTTTCGATATCTCGAAGAAAAAAAAATTCACTTCAAATTTTCTATACACTCAATGTTAAAAAAAAACTTGATTTCACGAATTTTTTTTTTCTAATGCCTCGATAACTTGAATTTTTTTTCTTCATAAATAGTATAGATTTTTCTTCTGAAAATAAAAGCTATTGAAAAAAAAAATAAAAAAATTTAAGAATAGAAAGCCAATTCTCATTATGATAAATTTTTTTTAAAAAAAAATGGACATGAAGACTTCAGTGGCATGGAATGATGTGTCTTTCTTTATGATAATGAATGGCTTCAAGAAGGCTGGATTCATTAAAGATCACGAAAGTAGTCAAACAATCAATATCGTTAATTCTGCTGAAAACTACACCGAAAATGATTGGGACAGATTGACATGACTCGAGAAACTTGATGACATGGAATTTCATGACTTTGTAAACGTAGATGATTCAGTAACAGTATGTGGTCAGTGGGATGACAATGATTTCATCGCTCAAATGAAAGCTTCTTGTGAACTATCAGAAGAAGAGGATGAGGAAATCGAAGATTTACCACCCAATGTTACTAACAAACAAGCACTTTCTGCAGTGTACACTGTAAGGAGATTTATTGAGAGGCAGCCAAATATGTCAGAGGAGACATTTAAAGCTATAGTCCACTTAGAAAGTGTTACAGACAAACTTCCTTACAGATCTCTAAAGCAAGCAACAATTGAATCTTTTTTTAAATGAAAGTGTAAAAAGTGTTATTAGAATAAATATGGAATAGTAAATAAGGTATGTAAAGAGCATTTTACTTTATTCTACCATCAATAACATGCGATTTTCGATAATTCGAATTTTCGGTATCTCGAATTTTTTCTCCTCTCCCTTCAAGTTCGAGATATCGAGGTTTGACTGTATATATTTGCAACTTGTTATACAAAGTGTGGCAGTGCACTGGTTGATTTAGCATCAGTTTTTGTTTCGGTTTAGTCAGAGTTGAGAGAATGGTGTTACCACTATCACGTTAAAATTTTTGAAGCTCTTTCAGTTACAATGAAGCTATAGATATTCTGAAGCTGTGATGGCATTTTATAAAAATTCAGGAAAAATTTCAATGAATTTCCGGAAATGCTGCAATATATAAGTAATGGGCTGTATTAACAGAATTGTTGCTGAATGTTTATGGAGTCTGCATCTAAAAGATGTTATTTTTGAAAAATAATGACTTTTTTTTCAGTTTAGAAATTAACTGCTTTTATGTTTTTTCTGTATTGCAGCCAATCTCTCTTAATAAAATTGTTAAAATCTCCAAACTCAGTGCCACATCTTGTAAATTTACCAAGCAAAATATACTAGTTTTGTCTTTTTTTAAAAATGAAATAATGTATTTAAATTAATATGCATTTTTTTATTTTCAGATATTTGCAGAAGAAATGACTGAAACTGAACACCTTCCACGCTCATTAGTTTTACAGTATTTATGTGAAACAGAACCAGATTTAGTGATTCCTTACTTAGTAATTTTTTTTTATTGATAATTATACTTTTAGTTTAGTACAAGTATTTTAATATATATTTTTGTGAAGCTAAGTTAAATTTTTTTCTAATAGCAGTTTTTTGTGTCATTTGCTTTGCAGTTTCTCAATCATTACTTAAAACAATTGTCTGGCCTAAAATGATGGCTTTGATTTCTATTATTTAAAAAAAAAATCAGTAATAAAAATATTAGACAAATAATATTAAGCCAACAGCTAAGAAAAAAAAAAGACTATTTGTTATTAAGCAGGGTTCATAGCATTTTTAAAAAGTGCTTAAAGGTGCTTATTTTCGATTTTTAAAAGCCCTTAAAGGTGCTTTTTTTATTGGGTGTTTTTAAAAAGTGTTTGATTTTCCCTTTTTCAAAATGAGATTTTTCCTTTACTATGTTGATTTTTGCTTCGAATTATGCAAAAAGACACAGTTCACATTGTTCTATTATTCAACGTTTTCACAATTAATTTAACCCTAATCTATTTTGGCGTATTGTCAGTCTACCGTATTAAAACGCCATTCGTTTTACATGATTCAAAATTTCATGATTTTTGACAATTGTCAAAAACAATGCCAAAAGATTTTTTTTTACATGACAATTAAAACAAGATAAAATCATCAATTCTCAAAAACTTTCCAACCCTGCCTAATTATGATATTTCTTAAAGTGGTTAAAAATATTTTTGAGTGCTTATTTTTTGTTGAATAATTTGGCTACACACCCTGCTTAAGGTCTCCAAATAAATATAAATAATTATTCTTATATTATAAAAATGGTTTTTATGTGATTATTTAATCTCTTAATTTTTAAATTAAATAAAACTAATAGAGTTTAATTTACGTCTTGCTTACTTAGTACTTTCACTTTATTTTCTGTAGGAATTTATTATATGCAAATGGGATGAAGAAAATAATCTTTTCCACAACACTTTGGTGAATAAATATTGTGAAAAAATTCTAGTGCTACTTAATGATTATCGAAATGCCCTTCCTGAAGGTAAACTTTTTATTTAGCTTTAAGCTGTTATTTAAATTTTGTATTAAATTGGTACAATTTAAAAATGATATGAATAAACATTGATTAAAAATGATATAAATATACAATACAATGATTCAAAATACAATTTAAGAATGATATCAATATGAACTAAATTTCATAAACCCAAATACTACTGCTGAAAATAATCTTCCTTCGCTGTACATACTTAGAATTCTACAGTTTTCAGTTTTCTTCTGTTTTTATCACCAGTCAGTGATCTAGATTTCTGGGAATCATATCCTATGTTAGAATAATTCTAATAATTCAGTTAATGAGTTTTCTTATATCCTATTCTTTTTCAAATGTTTGAAAATCTATATTGTTTTAAATTCACAATTTGCTATTAATGAAGTTCTCACCCTACCACCTCATACCGGTCTTTTATTTCTTTTGTTTAATTATCTTGTTCAATGCTTATCCTTTTAAACTTAGTATGCCTGCCATACGGCATTATTTGTGTTTCTTTTCGCGCTATTTAGCATAGCTTTACTCAATTTTCTTACATTAAAACTGGATTCTCATTAAATACAACCTTTATAAGTGTATTGTACTGTATTTTCAGATTGTTGTGCAAATTAAATTGTAAAAAATCTGACCTATTACTTTGAGTTTTATGTTCACTCAACATAGTTAATATGGGAGGCCCACATTTTACTGATTAGTACATTTAACCATATTGTACCATTTTAATGAAACATGCGTGCATTTTTTTTTAGGTCATTCTCCTGCTCCTGCTGGCCAAGAACCAGGAGAACTGGGAGTTTTAAGAAAAAAACTTCTGTTATTCTTAGAAGGATCTGAACATTGCACAGTTGAACGGTTTGCTACTTATATGATGAACAAAGGTTAGGACTTGTTTTTTTAACTTGAAAAATGTGTTTCATAAAATTACTACAGTAAAACCTCTCTACAACAATATTTTGGGGACCAAATAAATATATTGTTATAGAGGGATATATTGTTATATCGAGGGCCTACATACTTTGGGGACACAATAAAACTTTTTTTAAAAATTTAACTGTTATACGTGTATTAACTATAAATATATTTATATGTTACATAAAAAATTAATTTGAAGAGTGTTAATCATGGTTAAGTATTAAAAACAATTGAAAAAAATTCAGAAATAAGGTCGTAAACATACCTGAAAACTATTTTTATTGAAAATAATCTGATATTTTTGTTTGTTAATTTTTTTTTTTTTTTTTTAACTGTCAAGTCAACCAACAAAGTATGCATTGAAGCCAAAGCATGAAAATGATTTTCGTTTGTGAATAGTGCTCCAACCACCCTCTACAGAAAAAATTCTCTTTCAGGTGTTAATGTGATGCTTTTGGTCATTTGTGACTCGTGATCAGCTTTTAACGCAAAGGAATTGAAGTCAGATAGGAATGTTACATCTGTGACTGTGATGGCGTTGTTCACCATATATTTTTTTCTATTAATTTTTCAAATCTTCAGTCATTTTTATGTTACCTTATACAATGTACTTTAATTTATTTTTTAATATCTTTTTTTCACTGCATATTGTTGCATATTATTGCAAGGATATATATTTCTTACAAAATTTCATCTCGCATACTATTTCATTTTAAAGTTCTAAAACAACTAATCTAAGAATAGTATTGGTACATGTTAAAATTCTTGCCAATCACTTTCTGTTACAATGTGCCAAATATGTGGTTGTACTTTTAGTGCTTTTTATTAGGCTAGTTTTACCATGTTTATATTCTACTGTGACTTTAGTAATATTTTGCAAACAATCAAAATAAAAAATTGTTTAATTTTGAAGGACTGTATGATGAAGGTGCTGTAATTTTGGGTAAATTAGGAAGACATGATGATGCCTTAACTATTTACATACATATTTTGCAAAACTACTCTAAAGCTGAAAGGTAAGATTTGTATATTCTTTTTTTAATTATTTTATTTCTCCCCTACTACTTTTATTTCTTTTTGCTTTTTTACAAGCTGGCAATTCAATGTAAAGAATCCCTTTGCCCTTGATTTACAGCATTGGATCTCTGGTTTGAAGGGGGTGCTGATTATCATTTCATGATGATTCGAATCAGATTTCAGTGGAATCAGACTGTTGTTTTGCCTTATATTTAGGGCTTTACAGTATTAAAAGTTAATGTAATCCACTAATCATTTATACAATAGAAGATTTTTGTAATGCAAACCTTGAATTTCAAGACTTTATGTTATTTTGAATTTTGTGTTATATTGATCATTTCACATATCATTTGCCTTACTTAATGAACATAACAATAGATACCTGGAACAGATCAATATTTAAATGTTTTAAAATAATTTTTAGATGTAAATGACTTTGAAACACAGAAACATGAACTTCAAGATTTCTTATTGTCATGAATAATCATTGTAAAAAAAACTACAAAGAGCAATGAAGTTAACAACAAAAGAAATTATCATTATCGATTTGCTTTAGAGATTGTAACCTCTTATTAAATAAGTTTTCTTGCTTGTGAATAGTTAATGGTTCTTTGATAGTTAATGGTTTCAGAAATTTGTTTAATATTTTAATTGTTTACATCCACAAAATTAATGTGGTTTATAAAAAATTGTAGTTTATAGAATTGCGTTATATATAGATCTACAGTACTTCCAAAAATACAATAATATTTCTTATGCAATAGAAATAATATTCTCTTGTTCTTTGAAGAATCTTTGCGCTGGTTCGAATTAATAATATGTTTAAACTCATTTCTTAAAGTTCACACACAACTTTTGGACTGTCGCTTCCCTTTATTTTTTGCATTATCACAAAAATGCTAACTCAGACATCTCGAGATCCGAGAGATAGACAACAACTTCATAACAACAAAGAAAGAAGCACACATTCAAAAACAAAACAATTGGCGAGAGACGCATGCGGCGTGAAGCCTCACAATTGGCGAGATATTCACAACATCGCCACAAGCATACATTCTTTTTTATGGTTGTAAAATAATTAAAAAACAGCATAATGTTATAAATAAGTTCAAAAATCATGTTAACAATTCTGATTAACTTTAATAAAATATTTCAAATATGTATGCACACTATCCAATCATAGCAAGGCATCTATTCAATGATCTATCGTTTAATGACCATCTTCGGGACGTCAATTCTTATGCCAGTTAAATGTCATAGACAGTGCTTTAACTAGTACTCCTAACTTCCACATTACATTAATAAGAGGGCTTTTCAGCCATTAGAGATTTAATGTGACCTTATTGTGTATACATGATAGCTGTTTTGCCAGCTTCTAGGATCAAACTCACAGTCTCCAATTCGACATTCATACGCGTCACTTAAACAGTAGCTATCCTCATGGCAAATCACTATCCTATGCAAATATTGTGCAAAGCACTATCATAAGCAATATATTGTGCAAAGCACTATCATATGCAAATATTGTGCAAATCACTATCCTATGCAAATATTGTGCAAAGCACTATCATAAGCAATATATTGTGCAAAGCACTATCATATGCAAATATTGTGCAAAGCACTATCATAAGCAATATATTGTTGCAAAGCACTATCATAAAGACAAGCTTTGTATTATGCTGATATTGAATCTTTTTTATTACATACTTTTCTAAATTTTGATTTGCCGACAACTTGTGTAGGCTTACCAGAGTTAGTGGAAAATTAAAAAAACTGGTAATACCTTTCTAAAAATCATTGCTTTTGCCTTTTGATTTTTTAAAAAAATAATTTCTGTGAAGAAATTTTTATTTTGAGAATTTTAAATTGAAAAGGTAAAGTGATAAGTTTTTGGATAAGACTTTAGAAACTTTACTTTAAATTTTTTTTAGTTTGATTAACCTAAGTCTTTTTACTAGTCGTTTATAGCCAAAGCAGTCAGCATATTTTTGCTAAATTTGTAATCTTAGAGTTTATGTACAGCTAAATTTTCTTAAGATTATTATCAGGTTGATAATTAAAGTGTTGGAAAGCTTTTTACATTAAGAAATTTTTATAAATTATAACTCATTTTTAATTAAAAAAATTTTTAAGAACAAAAATAAATTCTATTAACTTAAAAAGGTTATTCAATGCTTCCTTAAATACATATATTACATGAATTAATATTTTTTTAATTGATTTTTATTTCATTAGATATTGTGAAAAACACTATCATAAAGACAAGCCTGGAAATCAAGATGTAAGTATATATTATTTGTGTTGCTGAATAGTTTGATTACCTTGAGTTTTAAAAGGAAAATCTTTACATAATTATCAAGGGATTTTTTTCTTTCAAAAAAAGTATTTCTTATAACTCTTAACATATTTATTATCAACAATATTGTAACATGGTATATTGATATATTTACTGCTTACTGGGCTTAGCTATTGACTTGAAATTTTAACTAAAAATTTTGCATCTATAATTTTTTAATATCTGTCTCAAAGAAGTTTTAGGTAATTGAAGAGCAAATTGCATTTTTATAAACTAGCAATTAAAATCAGTTTTAAAAAATATTTGTTTACTGCTCAAATATTTCCCTCCTTTTATACAATATTAATACAAGTATCCACCTAAACAATGCAGCGATGGAAATTTTTTTCAAATATTAAAAAAATTAGTTAAGAATCTTTCATTTTTACAAATTTGTGGCTTTTTTTAATTTGCATTATTTCATAATTGCCGAGAGGTTTTTGGCTAAAGATAGATGCTAACAGTCACAAAAAGCTGTTACAATCTCATAAAATTTAGAAAAATAGCATATTATTTGCTGAAAGGGTTATTTCATAGTACAGCAAAGCTTTTGAAGAAGATCTTTGATTCATCCCACTTGCAGTTTAAACTTCTTCAAAATAAACATTTTTTAAAAAATGATTGTCAAATCTGTTTACACTTCTTGAAAAATTGCATTAATTTTGAACCAAAATATTAATTCTGCTGCAACGGTAGGTTTCTCTCCAAGCTTGTAACCATTACTGAATTATTTATATTGTTTTAACTATTGCTAGGATCAATAGCTGACAGTTTATTTATGGTCAAACATAATGTACTATTTTTTTAAAAGTTTTTTTCTCTGCATTTTTAGGTCTACCTAGTCCTGTTAAAATTGTATTTGCCATCAGCTGAAAACCAAAAAATTAATATTCCTGCTGTTGGATATGTGCCTATACCAAAACCAAATATTGAAAGGGCTATATCAATATTAAAACAGTATTCAAATAAGATTGATTCATTCAAGGTAATATGACACCATCCCAAAATTATAAAAATTTAATAACTGAATAAAAAAAAGTTTTATGTTCATGTATAATCTTTATTGTTTTCTCATCTGTTTATTAATTGTAAGCTTTTATTGATGAAAAAAATTTCTTCAGTGAAATTAATATTGACAATTGCCAAATATTAAAAATAAATTTAGACAATATGTTCAGTGATTTTGCTAGACTTTGGGAACTTCCTAAACACCCAAGACTTCGAGACTAAGAATTATGCGTGGTCCTTATATTCATAATATTTAACAAATCTGAGATAATTGAATTTTGATTTCGATTGTTTGTAAATAAAATCATTAAGAGATGAATTAAAGTTTTTTGGATGACAAATCTGAATTTCTTACATAACTAAACATAAGATTTTTGCTGCATTTAAAATATTAAAAGCCCCTCATTTCATAATTTTTAAAATCTTGCCTCTAAATAATATTGTTATCTTCTACAACAACTTATAAGTACTGAAAATTTTAAAAGTAATAACGCAATAATTAATAAAAAGTAATACGCAAAAAAAAAAAAGAAAGTAAAGTACACTAAAAGTTCACAAAAATTTAATGCAATTGGTGGGCGGTCCCATATGCAAAAATATTACTCCTAAAATTCTCAATTAATTCGTAAATTTAATGAATAAAAGGGAGATGAACATTTTGAGGTAATGAAGCTTTAGGATTCTGGACTGCTCTGGCGACCCACATGAAAATACGTAGTTAGTGAATGATTCCCAAGTCAAGTTCAAAGATTATGGTACNATATATATATAAAAAAATGGGTTAACAAAAATTGTGCTTTGACATGCAAAACAGGTTGTTAAAACCTGGCAAGCTTCTTCAAAAGTGGAAAATAGTCTTTAAAAAAGAAGTATCAAAGAGTTTAAAATTACAATCATGTTTGAATGAAAGTATTAATTTTCAAGCTATTTATACTGTTAAGTATGGGTATAATCAAACACTACTAGATTAAGTGCTCAAACTCATGAATTATGCGTGGTCCTTATATTCATAATATTTAACAAATCTGAGATAATTGAATTTTGATTTCGATTGTTTGTAAATAAAATCATTAAGAGATGAATTAAAGTTTTTTGGATGACATATCTGAATTTATTTCAAAACTTAACATAAGAATTTTGCATTTAAAATATTAAAATTATATTATCTTCTTCAACAACTAATAAGTACTACTGAAAATTTTAAAAGTAATGCAATAATTAATAAAAAGTAATAAGCAAAAAAAAAAAAANAAAAAAAAAAAAAAAAAAAAAAAAAAAAAAAAAAAAAAAAAAAAAAAAAAAAACAGTAAAGTACACTAAAACTTAATGCAATTGGTGGGCGGTCCCACAGGCAAAAATATTACTCCTAAAATTCTCAATTATTTCGTAAATTTAATGAATAAAAGGGAGATGAAAATTTTGAGGTAATGAAGCTTTGGGATTCTTGACTGCTCTGGGGACCCACATGAAAATACGTAGTTAGTGAATGATTCCCAAGTCAAGTTCAAAGATTATGGTACAGATCTATAAATAGAATATCGTGAGAAGGCCATTAGCTTGCAATAATGGAGAAATAAATTTTTTTTTTATTGTCATTAGGGAAAAAAATTAACAATGTTTAGTGAGTCCTTGTAATCAGCGAAAATTCAAGAGATTTTTCGACAAGGCGGATAATGAAGCCTGAAATTGAGTATCTCTTGTAAAATTCAGCAGTTGCACATGAGAGGGCTAAAATACTTCCCTCTAAATACAGCTCAGTATATGCACAGGCGGACCCGCAAGTATTTAATCTAATATGTAAACCGAACGGTGTTTTCATTAGCTACGGACTGACGGTACGCCGAAATAGATTGGGGTTGAATTAATTGTGAAAACATTGAATGGAACAATGTCTGTTTTTGCATAATTCGTGTCCAAAATCAACATTTAAGAAGCGTAAAGAAAAAATCTCATTTTGGAAAAGGGAAAATTAAGCACTTTTTAAAAACACCCAATGAAAAAAAGCACCTTAATGGGCTTTTAAAAAACGAACATCCAAAATAAACACCTTTAAGCACTTTTTAAAAACGCTATGCACCCAGTGTATAGATTTTTAAAATTCTGTACAAAACTTAAAAAAATGAAAATATTAGGAAAATTGCTTATTTTTCTCTTTTAAGAGGTTAGATGTGAAAAACTGTATTGATTTTTAATTAGTTTCATCAATCTCTTCCAGTTTTCTTTCTATTTTACCCAGTTTCTTCTGAGTTTTTTTTCCAGCATCCTGGAAGAAATAGGTTTCATCCGGACAAAATGTCAACTTTGCTGTAAATGTGACAATTATTTAAATTATTACTATACCACACAGAAACATCTTTTATTCAATGAATATATTTTAAATATAATTTATCACCCATAAAATTTTTTCTTAAAAAAAAAGATATATGTTTACTTAGAAAAATAATTTATTTTAGGAAATTACAGTTAAATTCTGCTTCATTACTTGTTATTTTGTTTATTTGAAAAGCACATAAATATATTCAGTAGATTGTAAATCATTGTTTTATTTTAGGCTTTAAGTTTGTTACCATCAGTCATATCTGTAAGTGATGTCAAAACCTTTTTGGAATGTGTTCTTCACAGTATTCAAAGTCAAAAATATGATGTGCAGCTAACAAAATCTCTTCTATATGCTGAGCATTTACAAGTAATTATAATTTTTAACAAAAAAGAATTAAAAACAGAATATAATTTACCATTTCCTTTTTTTATTTTGTTTTCAGGTTAAAGCTAAAAGTATCCATTTTCATTCATACAAATTAACAGTTACTGATTTAGACATGTGCCGAGTTTGTCAAAAAAGAATTGGTAAAAGGTAAGTTCAAATTCAGTTCTATCAATTTAAACTTAATGTATTGAAATTTTTTTTAAAAATATTTTCACAATAAGTTTTTAAAGATAAAGATTAATATGCATCACTTAAATAAATTTTTGAAAAATTAGTTATATGGATGCACAATTCAAAATTTGTGTGTCGTAATATAGTATTAACATCATAGTACTATAGTATATAAGACTATCAAATATACGTGGAAATCCGAAGTAATAATTACCAAAAAAGTGAAAGATAAACCTAACATATTTAAAATGAAATCAGTGCAGATTGAGTGTGTTAAATCAGATTTACTCAATTGTTAAGTATTAAAAGATTTATTCAAGTGCTTGATTTAAAATTTTTGTATTATAATAATATACTCATAAAAACTGAAAAATCAAGTACATTTTCAATGTTCGATTGCAACTGTTCTTGATTACTGTTATATTTACTTTGTTACAAATCAGCCTATTTCCTCTTTGCTTTTAGATGATGTAAAACTTTTTATCAAAAATTAACCCCATCATGTCATGTTATTAAAACAAAATTGTAAAATAAATAAATAAAACACTTTTATAGCAAAAGGTTTTACAAATGTTTCAGTTGATGTTACATTTATTTCATTAGGTGATTTCTTACATTATGTTCACTGGCAGCTGTGGGCCATGCATCAGGTGGTAGGCTGCATGTGGCTTGCAAACCACAAGTCATGCACCACTGAACTACCATTACTTTCATTAATTGATTTGGGGTTGCACCATTTTTTAGAAAATGAACTAAAATATTCTCTTGCCAAAGAAGCGCCTGCAGCCAAGTTAGCAGATAGTGAGGAATCTCTGGTGGCGATGCTTTATTCTATAACTAGGATTACTCCAGATTATTTAAAATTAGGCATATTCCGCTCATAATACGGTATCAATTAAATTTCTTAGTTTTCATCAACTTTCTTAAATATAAAATTTTAAGCACTTGGAGGATATGTTTATAAAAACAAACCCCATCACATTTGTAAATTAGAAAATTAAAAGTAAATTTTTTGAAAACAAAATTTACATTTGTACATAAAAATAATCGGTATTTTAAAAAAAAAATTTCTTAAATCTAATTAAAATACAGCATCGTGAAAATTTTACCTTTTCAAAAAAACATATTTGTTAGTAGAAATAAAATATTTTTGCAAAATTTTATAACATGCAACGGTATTTTAATGTAAAAATTTATATATTTTGAATTTAAGATAAAAAATAAATATTATGCTGTAGTAATTAAAAACTTTTTCTTCTTGTTTCAGTGCCTTTGCTCATTTTCCAACTGGTGTTACAGTCCATTATTCTTGTAAAGATCAATATTCTGCTGAAAATTAAACCTTCATCCAATTTTATCACAAATAGCCTGCTTTTTATGTACATAATTTGTATAGAGATTGATAATGATAAAAATATTTTTTTCCTTTTTTGTTTTGTTGTAAACATTCCAGATGTCTTGAAATTGTAATAAAATATTTTGAATTTTTAACAATGATTCTTATTAGAATAACTTTATTTTATCTTATAACTTGACATTCTCCTAAAAACAAAGTACTTTACTTTCTCATTTTTACAAATTGAGATTGTCTTTATAGCACCTTTGGAATTTTTTTTTTAAAGAGAATTATATTATCTTGAAATTATAAATACAAATACATTCACAGAAATTCGTACAGATTCAAGAATTGAATAAAAATTTTGTTAATACATTAAAAACAACATTTTACATAAAATGTGAAAGAGTTGGCAGGTATGAATTATGTATAATAAATGAACACATATTTGTCAACTGAAATTAACAATTTCTTTTATTTAAAACCTATTTACATATACTTCCAATGACTAAAACATTAACATTTAAATTGATTAATCTACCTTTTAATTTTTTAAGTATACTGTTGAAGTCCTAAAGATTGCTTTTTCTTAGCATCATCTCTTAATTCTTTAGCCTTTTCTTTGTACTGGGTAGATAGGGTTTCATCTTTTGCAACTCCATCGCCTCTTTTATACATTTGGCTTACATTCATACAAGCATATATGTTTCCACCATCACATGCATCTTTAGCTAATTGGGAAGCTTTAACTTTGTCCTGAGGTACTCCTTCAGCCCCTTTAATGTACAGACCACTCGCAAGGAAACAAGCTGTTGCAACTTTCGCTGTGCAAGCTTTTTCCAAATACGTCAAAGCAGTCACATAATCAGTTTTTATAAAAGGTTCACCAGTTTGCGGATCTTTCTCAGGACTAGACAGCATTACACCAGTATTTAAACAACCATTACTATATCCTAAGTCACATGATTTTTTGTAATAATCATAGGAAACGTGATTGTTGGCTTCACAACCTAGAAATTTTAAATTAATAACTATTTGGTGTTAAATAAGCATATTTTATTTTTAACTGGAAAGAATAGTTATTTTTTTAAGGATAATTTCAGACTTCAGCTCCATTTAAAAAGTTAATGGACTTGAGTTGAGGATGAGGTAATATGAAGACCATGTTTGAATAGTGGGCCAACTCCACTAATTAAAAAATGGAGTTAGTCTAACTTTCATGTTCATTTAAGTCACTTCTAATTTATTTTTAAACTAGTGCACTTTTAACTTATTTCTGTTGCCAAACAAAGGGCACTCCCAAGACAGGAAAAACAAATAATTTATAAGAGTTTTAAGATTAAATATCTTGGAGGGGATGGGAGTATAATTCACTATTTAATTAAGGCCTTCCAGTATCATATACTGATAGCACAAAACATCAATAACAACTTAAAATTTTAATAGTCTCCTGACAGCAATAATAACCAATTTCTCAATATTAGTACGTAGTTCTAAAATGGTTTAAAATAAAAACAAACAATCTTAATTGTGACTGAACGATTACTTTATTAATATCATGTATTTAATTATTTAATATTTGAAAAAAAAAAATAAAAAGTTTATTTTAAATTACTAATTCTATTATAATTGCATGTTACTTAACACATTGTTGACTAGCCGGGAGCTAACTCGTCTTTTTTATTCCCAAGCGTTGTTGACCGATGGCGAGTTACTCGTCATTGGACTCTCATAATATTTTTCAATTTAAGAAACCAAGGACAATATAGAATATTGCAAAAGCTTTGTGCATTATTTAGAATGTTTTACTTTACTTCCATATTCAACTATAAAATAATAGTTGGTTTTGTGAGCTACTTAATATAACTACAGTCCCTAGTTTCATAAATTGAATATTGAATATGTACACTAATTTTAGTAGAACTATTATCAGTAGTTGTTATTGTAAGCTTTATCGATAAAAATTAAAAATATACCTTTTCCAAGATAACTAAAAGTTGCAAATTTGTAACAACTTTTCTTATGTTGACGCTCATCACAGTTTGATTTAAAGATTTTGGCAGCACCTTCAAAGTCTTTCTTTACAGCTTCTTGATAGTCGCCCAATAAGTGGCATGCTTGAAAAAAGGAAATAAAGAGTCTTAAATACATTTGAAAGGTAAACACAGTTTAATCTTGTAAACACGAATTTGAAGAAACAAAACATAACATTTGTTCTTATACATTATAATTTCAGAAGCTTTTCATCATGCAATACTTAAAAATATTTTAATATTAACTATACACAACAATTCCTTTTGATTGTATACTAAGTGATACACATTATTTTCCACCTATAAAAGCGTTTTAATTTTTTACATTACATTAAACCATTTAAAATTTTCTACTTTCATAAAAAATGCAATTAATTATTTTAGAATTTATTAATTGAACGAAACAAAATGTATCAATCTCAAAATGTGTACAGCCTTTTATGTTTGCACCCATTTTTGAATTGCAGATACAAATTAAAAATTAAAAAGTAATTAGCTTAATAACAGTTAATGTTTCCATTTTAAAAATTGGTTGTGACTATTTATAAAATAACCAGTAGTTCCTCCATGTTTCTTATTTGCACAGGTATAGGTTAAATAAAAAAGTTAAAATAATACGTTTTTGAGAATTTTAACAGAATAATCCGATGAGCTTTTAATTTTTCAGTGAAGATAGAGAGATCTCTAAACATGTGGACTACTAAATAACTGTAATCCGTAACAAGGATTATGTATTCCAGTTGTTTGATTGAGATATATTATTTAACTAGGAAAATAGTCATGAAAGTTAGTTGAAATTTCTGGGAAGAAAAAAAAAACAGATGAAAGAACCAAAATATTCATTCTTATTTATTAGCAGACATTGGATTATAGGTTGAAACTTTCTAGCAGGGCTTCAAACTTTTCATGAACATTAAGGATAATGCTCATGACTGCATCTTGATGACACATTTAATTCTGAAAATTTGTCTTGTAGCCTAAGACAATGGTTTCCAGTGTCCCTTCTGTTAAGGAACCCTAAATGATCAACTTTATTTCAGTGGAACTCTGACTTAATAAATAAAGTTCATTAGCAATGAACCTAAACACATTAACTAATAAGATTACTAAATATTTTGAAAATACTTAATATGAATATTTAATAATTTCAACACATTCAAATTCCCAAGCTTAGAGAGGCATTTAGTTTAGCTCTAAATTTGTTTTTAGTACTTAAGAAAGTTAAAAATAATATTAAATAAATAGTAAGCTGAATTATGGTTTCGTTAAAATAAAAAAAATAAAGAAACAAACTTATAAACATTTAAAATGGTCCATGAAGAAACATTTATCGTTGAATTGATTTTTTATTTTTTTTAAATTCAAAGGCTTCATGGAAAATATTAATGAAATTGTTTTATAAATGCAAGCTCTTTTCATAATTTCATTAGAAAAATTCACACAAAACTATATATTGTTTTTTGTTACTTCTTTATCTCAGTGGTACTTCATTAAAATTATTAAAATACATAAATGAACTGTAATATTAAATAAATAATGAATAATTGATAGATCTAAAAGTAATTACAGATTTCAAAACTTATTGCTGGTTAAAAAATTTTTAGTTCTTGAAACTTCTATAACTGTACCTTGAGGTTCCACAGAACATTTATTGGGAACCACATGCCTTTCTCCCAAAACGTTTTTAAAAAAACGGCCAGCCATGCTTGCCTTATGATCCCAATAAGTGCACCCTCTTGGCCCTTTTTGTAAAAATAAGCCGCCATCCCTTAAAAACACTGATTTAATCATTAAATGTTTACAAATCTGTCTTTTTTTAAGGGGAGGTTATTAATAAATTGTTTAAGTGATTTTAAATTTCAAAATTATTTTTTAAATAAAAACCATTTTTTTAAATGTTAATTTTCTCATAACTCATAATTTCCAGCTTAAATTACAGAAAGAAGTTTTTTTTGAAAAAATTTTATGCATGCCTTTAATTATTTTTATGAACTACAAATGTTTCTCTTATTTTGATAATGAGAGAGAATTACTTTTAAACATAAACATAAAATAATATTAGAAGGTAATTTAAAAATTGTTGAGGATGAAATTCAGTTTTAACATTTTGATATATGTTTACAGATTTAAGTGAGTGCCCTTTCAAAACTCAGAGTGCCTTTTTCTGAGAGAATGTGTCCTGCCCTTTTTCATTTCTAGGGAGAATCCTCTGAATATCAAATATAAATGCATAAAATAAAATTTATATATTTTTTTACAAAAATTTTCAAATTATAAAACAAAGAGTCACTATTATTATTGAAAAAAGAAAAACTTAAATATGACTGGCGAGATTTAGTTAAAACTTGGTTATTTTATTTAAACATTTGAATTTGTTTTCAGCACTAACTTTTTTATTGTTAATTTTTCTGATAATGTAGTAATGCAGGTATTCTGAGCACACATCAATTGTCAAGGTACACATTACTATTTGAGTGATAAAAGGCTGATAACAGCTCAATAAATAAATTTCTAATTAAGTACAAACTGAAAATTAACTGGTCCAAGTTACATATGTTCATGTGATATCAAAAATTTGAGAAAATGATCTCACCTAAATTTAAAAAAAGATTCATTCACAATGGGACATGATGCTATCCACGATAGATTGTTTAACATTCCAGAAGAATATTTTAAACAGTTAGGTATGGCATACGCTGTCTAATAAAATGGAAACTGTTTGGACATGCTATTCTTTTGGTCTGAAATGCTCATTATTGTATAATCATTATTGAATGACACAAACATTTTACATATGATTGGTTGGGAAATAATAATCTATAGCAAAGAAAAAACAGTCAGTTTTGTTTTAAAGAAATAAATCTTAACAATAACCTCAAAATTTTTTGTTCCTTTTGATTTGCTAGGTGCAAGCAATAAACAAACTCCACCAACTTATATTCTTCTTTTTTTTTCTCAATATTTTTATTTTATTTATTTTTCTGAACACTGAACAAAATGGACATTTAGAAAAAATTAAAATAAAAAAGTAAAAAAAAAGTAAATTCGATTGCAAACTTGAAAAGTACCAAATAGTAAAATTCGAATGAACTAATTGAATAAATAATAATTTTTTTAAATTTCTAAATACGTTTCAATTCGTTAACCATGAAAATAATTATGAGTCTACAAATCAATATGAAAAATAATCTGGGAGAAAGAAAAGAAAAATGGCATCCCTTTTAAGAAAAGATATTCAATTTTTCCAGAAAATATGATTTATTACATTCATTCAAAGTTATTTTAGTTAATAAACATTATGAAGACATGTTCACTAACTTGGCAACTGAAACCATTGATCATAACTGACTTAATTCTTCATAATATCTATGTTAATGTTCAAAACATCAACATTGCATAATACTTTTACATTCAAATTAAAATTTTTGCTAATATAATCAATTTGAATAAATGTATTAAAAAATTGAGAAATAAAATTTAAATGTGAAGAAAAATCGTATGTAAATTAAAAAAAAAGTATCTCTTACTACCTTTAAAACTTGGATTATTAGAATTACATAAAAGCTACTTACAAGAGAACAGATTATTTAAAGTCGAAACATTTAAAAGTTGTTTCTTAGAAACTAAGTACAAAAATAAATCTTGTATGCAACATAAATAATAGCAGGCAGCAATTATATTATTGTCATCATAATTACGAAGCAAGATGTTATATATATATATATATATATATATATATTTAAAAGAAATATGATTACTTACAATTAGGCATGTATTTAAAAGTATCGTTTTGTAGAATATAGTCACATTAGTTTTTTAAAAATGTTCTGAATAATTTATATTATATAACGTAGATTGAGTAATATATCTCCACTCACCTTCAGGGTCTTTCTCTTTGAAACAAGAGAATTTATATTCTATACCAAGTTTGTCAATATATTCCTTTAATTCTTCTTCAGTTTCAAGCTTGAACGTCATTTTAGTTAATTTAAGTGAACTGACTTTCACCTCAAACCGACCATAACAAAGTTTATAAACATTACACAACAAAAACAGTTACAGTTATGTAAAAAAAAGTACTCAACTTTATTTGGTAGTAGGATTTGTCGATCACTAAAGCTCCTCAAAACGTCTTTAAATTTGTTCTTCATTCTAAAAGTAGATGGCACTACTTACATTAGTAAATTTTAACGATAAGAAAGCGGTAAATAATGTTTTTTTTTGTTCCGTATTTTTATTAAAATTGACAAAAATTCAGACAATGCAAATTTTTTCAAGACGTAAAAATTGTTTTATGCTTTTGAATTAAATTATACACCTCAATATAATTGCTGATAAAATCATAAAACTTAGCGTTAAAAAAAAAAAAAAAAANAAAAAAAAAAAAAAAAAAAAAAAAAAAAAAAAAAAAAAAATCCTATCTAACTTTGAATAATTTAACTTTTATTCCATATTGACCTCAAATTTAGTAATTAGGTTGTACATAAGATAAAGTTAGAAAATTGAACGCAAAATATATTTTCTCTGAAAAAAATACCTTACAAATTTTGATTTCTGATCGTCATAATATGGGGAGGGGAAAGTATCCGCAATTTGCAAAATAGGGTTGTAATAATAATATGTATCGATCAGGGATAAATGTATACATATATCAAGAGAGTTGTCGAAAAATTGTGCCCCAATTTTAATTTAATTTTTTGCGTGTATCGCCATCTTCTAAGTGAATCACAAAATTTTAACACAATTAAAAATTTTATTTGTGCAAAGATAGTTTCATGTGAAAGAAAATGTAGAATAATTATTCATAATTTTATTTAATAATAGTTTAAAATTTTTTGAATTGTCAGCTATGCAAATTTTTATAACATAATGTAATTTTAAATGAGAAAACACAAAATTTAAGCGAAATTGGTTGAATAGTTTTTGAGTAATATAAATAGCTATAAATAAGATTTATTTCTAAATTTTCTTTCCTCAAGAACTATTCGACCGACTGATTTCATCGTTCAAATTTGTGTATATATTCAATTTACAGTTCAAAGATTTCCCGATCTGTTGAGAAAAACTGCATATTTATCCAGAGAAAGAACGTTTGTGTGTCTGGCTTCATAACTTAAATTATCAGAACTAATTGTTCGGCACATTTGAGGTCAAACCAAATTAAGATTGGTTCTTGGTTAGTGAAAATCAGATCACTCGGAAAAAAAAATTAATCCGGGTGATATCTTTATTTTTTTTTCGTGCACCATATTTATAAGAAAAAAAAGCTTGATTTTAATTTTATAACCTGAATGAAATTTTGTTATTTATTTATATAATTCATACATTAATATCATATTATTACTTATTTTCACACTTTCTTACCAAAAAATATCCTTAGAGTACTCATATACCCGTATATCATTAGTCAGTTATTATATAGCTGTGCCCTAAAAAAAAAAAAAAAAACCGCGCGGAAGAAGTTAAACTTCGCAACCTGCGACGTTAATTGTAGAAGAACCAGCCGTCGTAGAAGGATCACTAGCTCTATTCAACGACTCTTTTTCCTGCTCCGCTCGCTTCCGTGCTCTGTAATCATGGTTCAAGAGGTCCACGAGGGAAAAATGCACAATATTACCGTGATTACAGAGCACGGAAGCGAGCGGAGCAGGAAAAAGAGTCGTTGAATAGAGCTAGTGATCCTTCTACGACGGCTGGTTCTTCTACAATTAACGTCGCAGGTTGCGAAGTTTAACTTCTTCCGCGCGGAGGNCTCATTTTTTACAATTGTTATCCACTAAATTTGAAAATAAAAAATACTACCCTATTAAATTATATGTGTATCAAAACAAACTAAAAAAATATTTATAGAAAAACAATACTTTTATGACTTTTATTATTTTTATGCTAGTGAGAACCAAAACAATATGGAAATGAATAAGGGAAAACTGGATCCTACCACCTGATTTCCCGGGCAATAAAAATGTAGTTTTAAACGTTTAACGCAACCTTGATGGAAGTCTCATAAGAAGTATAACTTTAAGAAAAAAATACGTGGTTTTTATGATTAAATACGTGATTGCTAAATCAGAAAAATTGAAAAGTAGACCAAAAACCAAAATTAAAAATAATAGAAAATAATAGACCAAAATAATAGACCAAAAATAAAAGTAAACAATTGGAAGAAAGTGGTTCCTCACAGGATCAACGCAAACTTATATTCTGCTTCTCTCTTCATTTATAAAGTCTCAAGTCTGTCAGGATGTATGTTTGCCGATAACTCGAGCCGATTTGGAATTTTTAAATGGGTTTTGTTAACAATCACCTCTTTCGGAGTTATGTGATTCAGGCACAGTATCGAAGATACGAAATTTTTTTGATGAAAATCATTGTGATAGATAAAAACATGGAAACAGCATTTTTACAAAATACTGAGTTAATAAAAGCAGGCGCAGACGGAATTACTAGGAAAAATTAAATATCTTTAAAGCTTGTAGAACTCATAGTTTAAATGCAGATGTAATGCGTGCAAACATGGATGCTAAAATAAGTTATCGAAAACAGAAAAAAAATTTTCTGAAATTTAACTGTCAGTAACAATATTAAAAATAAATATGTTTATTTTTATTCGTTCAAACAGCATTTAAATTTTGAGGCTTTTAACCCTTTCAATACGGCGAAAAGTCAGCAGGGGTGAAAGCGAAACGGAAAAGAGGAAAGGCTGGTAGTAAAACCATTTCAGTTATAGCTAGTTTTTGGGAGGAGTTTACTGATTCTTTTTTTAAATTTTTCAACAATATCTTGGAAAAGAAGCAGTTTTATATATATGCCAGAATTATAAAAGAAATCTTGATAGTTACAGATATTTCATTTTTTGCGAAAAAAATGCTGGAATGAAATGTTTTATGTACCAGGTTTTTCTCTTTTCCGTCTTGCTATATAAGGGCTTTCACCCATGGACTGGGACAGCACATGTCCCGTCCGGTGCGAAAGGGTTAAATTTGTTAAATTCTAATACTAAAATATTGTAATATTAAAAATAAAAGTTAATTGTTCGCATCTTTTTTGATTACGAATTTTAAATTATCAAACTTTTTATTATTATCCTTTAAATAAAAAAGTATCATTAACTTAAAATAAAAAGTAAAAGAACAGTACTTATTGGTCATTGGTTCCATGAAGCTAAGTTCGATAACAAATAGAACAACGCCAGGTTCTAATCTACATAATTCACCGGGTACCGATAATACGCATAAGTGCATCGTATTTGACAATATCTTGAATGTTATACAAAGCGATAGTTATTGAATGCAATATTATAGTAAATGTTGCTAAATTTTAGTCTGGTAACAAAAATATGGACACTAATGTAGAAATTAGACCTGATGAAGAAATTAGACTGACTGAGAAATTAGATTAATTTTGAAATTAGATTAATTGGAAAATTAGAAATTAAACAACTTGATTCTTCGGTCTTTTATTTCCATTTAGCTGAATTATTTTTTTAGAGTTTATTTTTTGCTTTAAAATGCCTTGTTTACTATTTAACACTAAACATACCAACACTTTTCAATACAATACAACACAACATACAAGAACGGGTCTTTTGACCCGTTATGGTATGATTAGTGTTAAGATATGCACATTCTTTTAATTTAAAGAAATTTACAACAGTTAAAGTTTGTTTCGTTTTGGTGAAATAACCCTTATAAATGACTAATTATAGTAACTAAGTGAAAAGTTTGATTTTGATTAAGTTGCTAATTTGATTTTCTATCCATCAAAGGAGCCATTGAGATACCAGTCATTGAGATTATCATTGAGATTAGGAGGAGTCATTGAGATTATCATTGAGATTAGGAGGAGTCATTGAGATTATCATTGGGATTAGGAGGAGTCATTGAGATTATCATATTTTTTAATGTCAGCATATGTTGTATTAGACATTTTAATAGCCAATTCATTCCCCTCGGTACCTTACGAACATGTAAGAGACAAAAAATTAAATTCATCCTCATCTGAGTTTATTATACTTACATATTTTATTTTATATCCGTCGTTGAAAAGACGATCCAATTTTTGGGTTTACTACCCTACTAATGTTCAACTCCGTAGCCTTGTAATTTTTTAGCCAATCCAGAGGAAAAGGAAACTCCTGGATCAGTACCCCCAGAGGTATGATTTGTTATGGGAACATGGAGGACTTTGTGACAGATTTTACGTGCATCAGTCACCATTTACTACACGGGGAGTCTTCGGCCGTCGGTGATCGAACCCACGATCTCTTGGACATGGGCCCAGTGCCCTACCAACCAGGCTATCCCTGCCTATACTTACATATTGTCGTGATTTTTGATTGTGCGATTTTAAATCTCGAAATATTTGAATTTCCACTTATTTAAAAAGGGGCCGTAGCCTGCTAATCTTTCAATAAAAAGTTGTTTACTACAACTTTGAAAAAGCCTATTCAAAGTTCAAAAAAGATTTCATGGTTTTAAAAAAATTAAAATTTAAATTGAAACTAAACTTCCAGAATTATTTTTTTAATATTTAAATGAATCCCTAATTTTTAAAACTTTTAATTTCATAAACCACATTAATTAAGTTTTAATATTATCAACAAAACTCAGCATATGAAAAAAATGAAATTTGAATTGAAACTAAACAATCAGAATTATTTTTTTAATATTAAAACAAATCCCTAAATTTTAAAGCTTTTAATTTCCTAAACCCCATTAATTAAGTTGTAACAACAAAACTCAGGATATGAAAAAATGATAAGTTGTTTTTGTGAGGGAAACAATTGAAATTGTTTCTTTATTTTAAAAGAATTACCACGGACGACTACTTTAATTTGCAATTTTTTTTGAACCCTAGAAAAAGCAAAGAAAGGAAACATGATTTTCTTATAGCTTCCACAAATACATTTCGAAATACTTCCACGTAACCTCATGTAGCTAACAAATTATCCCCATAACCAGCTAGTAGGATATGCTCCAAATCGTTGAAATGTTTTTACATAAAGAATCGAAAAAGTTTAATCGGAGTTATTCATTCTTTTTAACAAATGATTCAATGTTAAATC